GGTCCAAGGTTTCCCTGATCCCAGGAATTTCCAAAGGCCTTCCTGCTTCCCACTAGGTGTTGGTGTGTTGTTGAATTGCACACTCGAAAACTCCCTGCTTTGGCGATCTAGCAGTAGGTATTGCGTGGGAGGTCCGCCGTTGATAAGGGATACCCAGTTCTTTGTGGAGTGGGAGGAAACTATCAGTTCGCAGCCGCTATCGGAGATCTGAACCGAGGGCGATCCATAATTATATACCACCGGTCGACCCCATTCTGCTATCTCTTCATCTTTACTTCCCTTAATCCATCGATGACGTCCAATTTCGGACACAGTAACTCCATAAGTCTCGTAATAGATCAAGCCACAGAAAATTGTAATCATGATTGAAATGCTTCTCATGTTTGCTATCCTACTATGAGTTACAGTGAAATCGTATGTAGCAGAAAAAAATGGGGAGGTAAGTTTGGAAGTCTCATCAACTCTAAACGCTTGCTCAGGAATCGGTAGAAACCACAAGTGGATGTAGAGGCTCACAATAATATGTCGGACAGGTCCGTAAAAATTGTGCTTGATTTCCAGTGATTGGTGTGGAACTTTCTGTAAATTAAGCTGCGATGATTCTCCAAGACAAGCATAAGGCGTCAGAATTCGGACAGCATTGAGGCCATGACCAAAACACCAAGAACTGACTTTGGTAGGGCCAATTTGATCGAAATTTGGGCCGCAAGGGAGCACACCAAACAAAAAGATCAAGGATAGCTTCAATCTGGAATGATCAAGGAGTGAGGTTAGGTTTTATTTATAGATAAGGCGAGAAATGCACAGGGTTTCTCAGAACCATTCATTACCAGATGGAAAGTATTATTAACACAGGGAACTGAATATTGGCTCAGAGTTGACTAGATGCCATGGAAGAAATAGGATCAATTCATTGATCCCCACATCAATCAAACATTACCTGCGCTATACCTTGATAATGGTGCTGATAAACACCAAGTACAATTCTTGCGTGTTGTGCTAGAAGCGAACGAAAAATTGCACCATGATTTCGTGCTGCAGGGCTTCACAACATCTGTACTTGACAGGTACACGGCTGAAAAACGCGACTTGTTGTAACCTAATCGGTTGGCGACAACTGGCCATCCAGGACTATGACTGATTGTGTAACAGAAACAGCCAAGAGGTTTTATATTTATCTCCTTTGGGACATCTTGCTCATGCAAAGCTTGAGTTTATTTCATAATTAGAACTAGCTGAGTCTCCCATTTCGGGAGGACCGGCGCAGAGCAGAACATAATAAACAAGAGCTACACTGATGTACAGCTCAGTTTGCATCACAAAAAAGGGGTTGTTACTGGCTGCAAAGCCCGCGAGCTGGTTTCACGCAGGCCGCAAGAACAGGGCGGGTGAGTTAGGCTAGCTCATCACTTCCATTTGAACAGAAGTATCTTTGTCTATGTATCTCACATTGGGTGGTAGGGGCAAGGGTCATTCTCTAACAGCGTCAAGTTCAAGTTCCATCTGATTTTGCGCCAGAGAGCTTGAGGTTATACCAGTTTGGTGTAATCAAGTTTAAGATAGGTGATATGTAGACAAGAGTCATGTTATTTTAACCTATGCTCACCAAATCAGTTAGGTTAACAGATTGTAAAGGGCTAATCCGTCCTTCAATATTGAGTTTCTCAAGACTCTTGCTGAAGCATTTTACAGATATGAGATTAGTTTCTTATCAAGAGATGAATTTGTGCCCCAGTCAAGTGGTTATCCAGCACCTCACCCTATCACCGACACTATGTGTATTGCAAGAAAAAAAACACTCAGCTGGCCCCACCCTAGACAGCTAGCTGTACATAGCATCTTGACTTTTCCCAAGTATTATATATCATCTAAGCTTCAAAGTTCAAGGGTCCTCTTTAAATACTTTCCCAATGTTTCACCACCTCAACTCTAATTTTAAATGGCTAATCGAACTGCTTTTCAACCCACTCACTTGATCCCTCCCTCTTCCATGGCTTCAATCAGACATGACACTCCTTGTAAGATGCTTGTAAGCCTCCACACAACACCCAAATGTGAGCTTTGTTTGACCCACTTATTTTGGTCTCTTTGTAGAGAGTTTCACTGCAAGAAAATTTCAGGTAACTGGCAGCAGTTTACATGCAGGATACTCTGGGATCAACTCTGTTTCAGCTGCATGGTATCCTAGAACAAAGTATTCTGCATAGTGATTGTATATTAAAGTTTGACTCCTGTAAGTGTACAGTAACATTTACATTGAAGCTCAAGTCTCAGTCAAGTCTTTGGATGCCAACTGCAAGCAGTTTCTCAAGTTTTTTTTTTTGTAGTCTCAGACTCTCTGAAGAGTTAAAGTTCATTGACATTGTTTCTTAAGCTCCCTCCTCCCTCCATGTGAACTTCAATTGTACCATAACTGCCATGCGGGGCTTATTGATAGTAGACAATTCCTGGTGAAAACTGTAGGAGGGATTAAGAAAAAAAATGAACAAATTTCTGCATGTTCCAGCTAGATATTTTTCAATATTTTTTTCTTCAACAACCTGGAAAGAAGGAAAAAAAATGAAATAAGAATTCGAATTGATGTATTTGGATGTGAGAAGAATGATTATATATGGAAGAAAACCCTGAAAGAAAAAAAAAAGAATGCTTATCAATACCTGAGGGTACAATCAGGATGAAGTCAATAACTGATGTTCCTGTTCTTGACGCTATTGTCAAAAGCAACAAGTCCTGCTTTGATCTCTACATGCATAGACTCCAAAGAAATGCTCCAGATGTTTCTGTCCAAGGGCTTTACAAAGATACATGTCAAAAAAGGGTTTCATCAGTTGTGAGAGTTGCTTGTGTTCATGTGATCATTGATGACTTTCTAATTAACTATCCATAAACTTTTTTGGGTCTTGGTTTTTTTTTGTTTCCACTTTCATTCCATCACATGTGTGTGTGATTGAGAAGGGAAAGATACAAACAAACCAAAGGTAAGTCAAACTACCTGCTCACTAATCACACCATAATCAACTCACTTCAGAACAGAACAGAAAGAGACAAAACAAATGTAAAGTCGTGTAACTTCAACAAACCAATTTCCAAGTTATTTACACTTCTCATGTAGAGAAAAACATAGATACATAATCCTTGTAAACAAACAAACAAAAAAAAAGACACTAACAAAACTGATTTTGAATATAAAGATTCAAGTTGGATAACTATAACAAGCCAAGAACCTTTTTTTTTGTTCTCTTGTTTTTTGCAAAACAAAAAAAGAAACAATCCACAAGTAAACCAACACATAAACAGAGTGGGGAAGGAAAATAGAGCGGATTTTTTGTTTGCTTTCAATTTTATTAATTTGTCAGAAGCAAGCAGAGGCAGAGAGGAAAAGGAGTGAGGGAAGGCTACAAATGGTCAAAAAAAAAAAAGAAAGAATGTGAAAAAGACAAATGGAGGAAGAACTGTCCTTTCCGTGTATATATATATATATATACAAAATATAGGAGAAAGAGAGAAAAAGAATTATAAAAATAGAGAGATAAACAAAACTGATAGACTGGGAGAATGAGGACACTCAACGGAGAGAGACAGAGAGACACAGAGCAAGAGAGAGAGACAAAGTGGAAGTCGGAGTAAGGTAAGATCACAGAGCGAGAATGTACGACCGATTTCGCGACCCTCTAGCCTCTTTGATCCCCCCAAAAAGGTGTTTAACTTGTCGTAAACTTGTCGAGTTTTTCGACTTTTCAGGAGGTGCCTTGAGGGAGTTCTTCCTTATCTGAGCTCTAACCAGTGGATGATTGCTTGAAAGTTATGATGAGCGGGCGAGATAACGAGTCGGTCATATTCGAGTTGATATTAATTAACGGATGTCCCCATTGTTTCTTTTTCTTGTTTAGGGATCATGGTCTTGTGTATGAGGTTTCTGGAAAAGAGAGATAGAGAGGAACGGGTATATATGTCAAGGTGCGTTCACAGTCCAACTTGAAAGGGTTTGTTGGGATAGAGATACATGTATGGGGGATGCTACAATGGATGTGAAAACCACGGGGGGGGTTATGCTACAGGCTCGAGAATGGAGACAGGGTGAGCAGTGATCACTGGATCTGGGTGCCGGGTTGGGTGCGCTTGGATCTGGACTTCTTGTGCCACTACTGGTTCTTTTTGCTTTCCTTGACTACAACCTTCTTCATCTTGCTGCTGCTCTTCTTGCTCTTGTTTTACATCTCCTGGTTGTTCAGTTTCCTGTGAGACTTCTTTCCTTTCCTCATCTAGGTCTGCTCCGTCTGATTTCTGATCACTATGATCATCTTTCTTGTCTTGATCAACATTCTCAACGGTGTTTCCTGAATCAAGTGGGGAGCTCTCAGCGGCGAGTAAGAATCCTTGTAGGTTAAGTTTTTCGGTTTCCTCGCTGACGACCGAGAGCCGTTTGCTGTCAGGTGAATGGAGTTCCGAAGAGACTGTCAGAGATTTCTCGATAGCGGCCTCGTTAAGCTTTCTCTGTTGCTGGGCGGTGGGGACGATGCCAGACTTCTTCTTGTACACCTTTGGCAACGTCCTCAGTCTCCTTCGCGCCACCATCACCTAAACCAAAAATTGAACAAAAGCGTTTAATCTATCGGTCAGCAAGCGGCCAAACATCAAAGGCTCTGGTCACACCATTGCGGCAAAAGAAGAAGAAAAAAAGCACTAAACTGGCACTGATGATTTCTGAACTAAGTAGTGTGAAACGCTTCCCATCAAGCTCCCCTTGGAAGACGTCTCTCCGCGTCGGCCGACGATCACAAGATTAGGCTCGAGGTAGTCGATACAATCGACCAACATGTGTTTGGCGTTTTTCCCATGGATGGCCTGGCAAGTCACTTTGGCATGTAATCCGGTCCGTTCTAGTAGCGCAGTGACTGGAATGGACATGTGTGGAGAGATCTTAGTCCTTCCTTCTCGTGATTTAGGCTGTCATCTCAAAACTTACCTTCACGAACCAGCAGAGTGGCCTTTTCTTGGCGATCTTTTTGATTCCTAATCTTCGCCGTCCGGTCAGCCGCCGAGCCTGGTCCCTCCTCAGGATCAACTGTTAGGAGAGAGAAACGATGACGATTGAATTCATGGTAAAGAAGATCTAGAGAAAGTGTGGGATACATACATTTTGAATCGGTTTCGATGATCATAATCACAAGGCACTGGAGGTAGGGATAGACATGATTTCAATGCGGATTTGTAGGTGAGTCTAGGAAAACAACTGACCTCATCTCCTTGTCTCAACACGGTTCCTATGGTCCACTCGATAGCATACTTGGATTCATCGCTGAGATCGCAAGCAACGAGATAGAAACGCGTCCGTTCGGCTTTTTTAGCCACCTCTAGCCAATCGCCATGTTCAATAGTGATCGTACATCGGTTCTTCTGGTAGATCGGTCTAGAGACGGTTAGTTTGAGGTCTTGACGGGGACCGAGGGAGGTCCTTCGACGGATCGAGCCAGCCCGACTGCTGGTCGATGTTTTCCTGTTGGGGGCGATGACAGCTTTGGAGAGGCTGCGAGGATCGGTAGGAGCGAATGAGATGGGTAGTGGTGGTGGAGAGGTGATATTAGGTGCCTGATCGATAAAAGGGATCGGTTGGTTGGATTTTTGTAAATAGTCGATGGGTGTGATCGAGGAGGCATTGGCATTGGTGTTGGCGAGGATGGTCTCAGCCTCAGGATCGGTCAGTTCCGGTTCGAGATCACTGGATTGATCAGAGTTTGAGTGATTGGAATCTGATTCATCCTCTGAGGATGAGGGGAGATCGATCTGGGGATGAATTGAGCTTGAATCTAGAGTGCTCTCTCGATCTGACTCGGGATCGACGGAGTGAGAGGACTGCCTGAGCCGGCCGGTACGATTGGCAGGACTAGGGGATCTTGAGTTATTAGAGTAGTACGAGAGCGGGCTGAATAGATTAGAGAGCCGCTTTCGATGACGAGTAAAGTGACTGGTACTGCTGTTGCTGTTGCTGCTGCTCTGAGTGAGAGTACTGCTCCTGTTAGGGCTTGCAATTCGACCTCTGTCGAGATGAGCTAAGGCTGTGAGTGGCTGGTTGACTGGTTCAGCAAAGCTCGATCTCCTTCGACCGCTTCCGGAGGCATCCGATTGATCCGGGGTGGGTGAGCTCATGGATTGTTCTACGAGGCTTCCGGATCGTTTCCTTGGAGAACAGGCTTTGGTGGATTGGACGATAAAGCGGAGTGGGTCATCTGGTGAGAGTAAGAGGGTGATCGATCCATTCCGGGGACGGTGTGCGAGTTGTTGGTCGTTAGGTGATGGTCGTGGTGTCTCTTGTTGCTGATGACTGAGTGAGTTAGTTGAGAGTGGGACTGCTGAGGCTGGTGGTTCTTGAGTTGGTTGCACTTCAAAGTGAGGCTGAGAGGGTGAGCTGGGTTGAGAGTGAGATTGGGAGGTGACTGGTTCAGGTTGTTCGTTGTTATTGCTGCTGCTGTTGTTGTTGTTGAAGGTGAATGAGGTGAATGAGAAGGAAGGTACTCGTTTGTGGAACTTCATGATATTGATACTAATACTATGGTTGGTTGGTTGGTTGGTTGGTTGTTGGTTGTTGTTGTTGGTGGGTTGTGGCTGGTGAGTGTCTCTAGTGGGTTGAGCTTAAATATGCGGTGGGTAACCCCCCCTGGACGCATACATGATACTCTGGTGACCCCCTCTTGGGAAGATAACTGAGTTCTGAAACAACCCACTCTGCAAACTGAAACAACCTTAACAACTCAGTGCGGGGAGTCTACGTACATAGCCCACTCAAAAGACTCCGCGTACAATCGAAATACAAGCTGATACAAGGCTCCGGAGTCGATCGATTTAATAGCCTTATCCGGATAGTTTTGCACAGCCAGCGGCCAATTGAATTCTTTTGAGACAGCTTGCTATGTAGACCCGCAAATCTATTGTATCTTGCCCATCGCCTCGAAACTCAGGGCCTCGGAGTCTTCAAGGAAACCGACATCGATGGGTTTCACTGTAGCTTCCCGAGAAATCGATCGGCTATGTATCATCTGGACGGCATCTTTGGTAAAAGGTTCTCCAAAGCACTGCTTTGTGAACGATCGTCGGGCGATGCCAGATATTCACTATTAATCTTTGGGTGGAATGTGACGGAACTACCTGCACTCAGAGAAAGCTAAACAATATTTATTTATTTATCTGTCCACATGATGTTTCTAAGGAGTCAAAGTTAAGCTCAAGTCATCTTCCGGTAACACTAGACATGGATACGATTCAGGGACCTATTCTGATCATCGTCCAAAACTTGAGCCCAAAGTTAAGATCCAAAATCAGCAGCCCTGGAGAAATTTGAAATTTCTTCCCCCCCGGCAGTGGTTTTTGAACGAAAGAAAGAAATTGCCTATTTACCGGCAACGGAGCCAAGGCTTGTACACCGCGGGTGCAGAATATTTTGAGTTCGACGTCAAAGAACCACGGCCGGTCAGTTGACGTTAAACTCCAAATAGCTACGGCCAATACCTGTACCCCTGCGGCCTGACGGCCCGCACCCGGCTACAGACGGCCTCAAGACCGCATGCACACAGGGACACAGCTTCCAGCTGTCACCATTGAGATCACGGTGGCAAGCGGGCAGGCAGGCCCCCTTAACGACGGCCCAAAAATTACACCGTCCCCTGCTGTCCGACAGCAGTGAGCACGTCTGTGAGTCAGCTCTGCCATCAGCCCGCACACGTGAGGCTGGTGCTTACTGAGGTCTACATCTCTACAGCAGCACTGCCCCCACAACCGATTCAACTGGATAGACAGGGCTGTGGGTAGCTGTGGGTGAGCTGCCTTCCCCAAGGTTGTGGTGATCATGTTGCCGTATATACATGAATTAGCCCGTTTAGGATATAAACCTGCCTGTAGACCCCCGCACTGTTCATCCACTTGATACCGTTCTGTTCCACTTTTCCAATCTCGCCATCTCTTGATTTTTTATCTTTTATTTCCCCAGCAGACGCTTAACCTACTTCTTTGCCCTACCTAACTTCCAACACTCCCAGGATGACAGTGTCACGTTGACCATTGACAGCCTTTCCTCTACCCAACCCGAGATTCATCCCGCACTAACCGGTCCGACCAACTAAACTTGCTAGACCAGGACTGCCTGTCTTCATCTGTGCCGCACATCGGAAATGATTGTCAATCCGACAATAACAACGGCACTCAATTGAGCATGTCGTCCGACTCAATGTTTATGTTTAGCCATATTGTTTTCTGTGCTGATGTTACATGTAGCCCCACTGGCCAATCTTGCAGGTCGGATGGGTCCTCTGACCCAATCTCTAACAGTGGGAATGGTGTGCCATTTTAGATGATCAGGAGCAGGTGTAGTACAAGGATGGCCCCCACCGAAAAGCAACTTCCCACGCGGGCTTTGGGGAAGAGCAGCCATCCCTGGCAGGATGCCCCACACCATCAAGCAATGTGATGGCTCTCTTTTAGCTGTTTGGAGTCGCCCAGGAGGCAACTAATCTTGTCGACTGTTTTCTTTCACTTTGTATATATTGAAATTCTTTCCTTTGCTTCAGTGGGTTGACACTAAGTGCCCTCCCCAATCTCAATAGCAACCATATACTTACCTTTTTCAGTTCTTCTCAAATTGTGCCCCCCCCCCCTGAAAGAGTGTCAAGTTTGGTGAACATGCTGTTGGCTGCACCGAATGCATGTTCATGACAATTGTCTCTGGCCTGGATATAATGTCGCATCTGACCACTAGCCTGGCAGTAGCTGAAATTCCTCGGCAGCCACCCACTTGGCACGATGGGCAGCCGGTCGGATGATGTGAATGGCACACACGTGAGCTGAGCAATAGGCGTCTGCTTATCCTCTGGATGACGGCCTTCTTGCCGAAGCACGTTGACATACCAGGATAGTACTGGTTGGGCAACGGCTGCTAACAACGTCGGTGCACGAGCATGCTTGACGGGCATGAGATGTCCTTTTGCAGACGTCTCCTGGCAGCCGTCATTCAGACTTTCTACGGAGCCCGTGTGTAGGCCGTGGGGGCTTGCAGGGAGTGTTCCGTCTTGGGACGGCAAAAAAACCCCGTCACGATGACAGCAATCTGTACCCGGGGTGTACCATGTAGGAGTCCATGGAGCGGCGGCGAATGATCCCGGGCGCGAGTGCTAAAGAAGGCCCAACACAGTAATAGGGACTGAGTAGCTTCAACGGCAACCCGAGCATGACCGTGACGTTACTGCCAACCCCACGCCGCCACCTTATCAACTTTACTTCAACTGAGACTCATCACCCAACAAAAAAAAGCCCATCCTACCTCTTCTCCCCCGGCCGGCGGCGGCGGGCGAGAAGAAAAAAGAAAGACACTGAGCGGGGATGAATAGGATTCTGACATTAATCCTTTGAATGCCCATAATACGCAACTCGTAAATGACTTTTAAAATGGTATTTGCCATCCACCTCCATGATGGGAACATGTGACAGTAATAGGCTCCTATAGGTTATCCATCTTTTTGCCATTGGATATTCCGACGAAAACAAATTGATCTGTAGTTGATAGAGTAACTGGAGTAGTTGCTTCGCAGTCACGTTATCCAAATAGATAAGTATGGCTGGCCACCACTGGATCTATGTACTCAGAGGAAATAGCTATGTTGTCACTTTGTGTTATCATCACATGCACTGAGTTTGAGTCATTCCTGAGTCAATCAACCCTTGTTCCTACCAAGTTTTCCCTGTTAATTTTTGAAAGAGAGTGTGGACAAATAGTCAGAAGAGGATTGTGTAAAAATGGTAGAATCAATTGCTTTATTGAAACAGTATTAATAAAAAACTCAATAGAAGTAATAGTCTTAAAGAATAAAAAACATTGTTAGAATGAATACTCAAATGAGAAATAAATGAAATATAACATTTAATAAATACCTGATAAATGAAATCAGAATATAACAAAATCTTAACACGATTTATACCAACGTCAACTCTTAACACACAGGAATGTTTTAGCAAATACAGCCTAGAGAAAATGAATAATAAAAACGGTCAATATTTTGATTACAAGTGAGAAAGAACAAGTCAAATCAACTACCTGCCCAGCAGCTGATTCTAGCTCCTCCTGAGTGCTTGAAGTAAACGATGATTAAAAATCGGTTTTTGATTTGATTGATCAGCGAATGAGATTTTGTTGACCTCGGGATGATTTTTGATTCGATTAAGAGATCGGCGGATTGTCGAAGGAAGGGGAAAGAAGGGGATGACGAATGATCGATGAAGTTGAAAACTGAAAGTTGAGACCCGCGGATGACGCAAATTAAAACTGAACATTAAAAGAATTAATACTTAATGTCCGAGTTTAAACTCAACACTCCTCCTAAACACGCACATTAACTAAATGTAATTGTTTGTACGCTTCAGCTAACTTGATTTTACCCAGTGGCTTCGTCAGAATATCAGCAATCATTTCCGTAGTCGAAACTTGAATAATTTTCATAACTTTCTTTATCATAAGTTGTCGAATGTACTGAAAACGAATTTCAATATGTTTGGTGTTGGGATTCAATTGAGGCTCCTTGCTAATAACGACTGCCCCTGAGTTATCGTTGAAAATTGTTGGAATGCCAATTTCTATACCAAGAGACGTAATCAAATTTGACATCCATCGAAGTTGCTTTGCACATTTGTTGATCGAAATGAATTCAGCTTCAGTAGTTGATTGTGCCACAACAGATTGCTTCTTTGTGGTCCACGATACTGGATTGCCGAGAAAAGTAATTACATAACCCGACATCGAATTTTTCGTTACGAGAGAAGTACCGTAATCCGCATTGGCCCATCCGCAGAGAGAATCAGAAGGACCCTTAGTGAAAACAATTCCAACATTCTTTGATCCACATAGATACCGCATCAAATGTTTAACCATAGACCAATGTGCTTGAGTGGGATTAGAAGCAAATTGAGCGAGAATATTCACCGTGAAAGCTATATCTGGACGAGAATGGAGAGCAAGATAATTTAACATTCCTATAGCGCGCTGCATCATTTTCACATCAAATGGAGGGGAATCGAATGCCATAACTCGATGAAAATTCAAAGGCGAAGGCGCTTTTACCGGGTTGGCGTCCAACATATCAAAGTCATTCAGAATTTTATGCGTAAAATCAGATTGATGAATGAAAAGAGAACCGTCGGAATTCCAGACCAAAGTATAGCCCAAATGTTGAGTCGGAATCCAGAATCGACAAACACTTGTTCCAGACATTCAAACAAACCATGTTAGATCATCATCAGATGTCACTAGGAATCGATGGCTTAATCTCACCGACTTGATTTGCACATCTATGAATTCATACAACAATGTGATTTGGATTGGAAACCTGAGGGTGAATTTAGAAATGTTACAATAGTTTGAATATATCCACTTTTGATTGAGTACAATATTTAAAACGCCATATCAAAAAAAGAAAATCGATTATTAATGAATACCCAATTGGTGAAGATGTCTGTATTTACAATGGCCTTCTCACTCTTCTCCGTTCTGCATTGAGTTTAACCCAACTATGTTAAAATAAGGAACTACATAGAAGGATTATGCACTCTGATTTTAAAATCACGTCCCACCGCCAAGCTACACATTTGAAAAGTATCGAGAAACAAGAGTCATGGACGGCATTCATGCTATGAAATGTTTTCTTTTTCAGGAGACCAAGCGCTGCTTATATCGATTGGGGATTTGAAATTTCTTTAACCAAGAAGGAAATGTCAGTATAATATAATGCCCCCTAGTATGTTCAGCCAAAAAAGGAGAAGAAAAAATACCTGATTGCAGGATGAATAAGATCGGGTCGTTCAGATGGTTGCGAGGCTAATTTATCAGGAATTGGTAGGGTTTGGTTGATGCTCAAAGAACGAGACATAGTTCGAAAGGATTTGGAGCTTCCACCATCACAACTCTCGAATGCACGACGCTCAGAGGGCGCAAAATATCTGGGGAAATGGGTGAGTCGAGACGAAATGGGGAAGGGGACCGAACTTCCAGCAGCTAAAGGCGGACTGATAAACTCATTCTTCGAATGCAAAATATTTGGCGAGCGAGAGGTTGATGGTAAACAGAATATTCTGGAATCGGGCGAGTTTTCCACAGAGAGCTGACTCGTTCCTGGTGAGCAGAATTGAATTAACTCTTGTGGAACGAATGATGATCGATCAAAGTCCCGTCGATGCTTCGTGAGTACCGTCGATGGGGCTTGAAAATTCGTCAAGTCGCTATTCCTGTATATATTTCGACCACTATTTATCTCAGCGAGGTCGTAAGGCTGATCCAGAGCCTCTCCCATAGACCGATTGACTGGTGACATGGTAGGACTATATGATTTGTTCTTTTCGCTTAGTGAGCACGCTGACGTAGCAGGAGATGGCGGTCGCGGTGTTGTTGAAGGGCCGGTAGGTTCCGTAATCGGACCAGAGGATAACCTGGAAATGCAGCCAGATTCTACACCGCCGTTTAGTAGGGGCTGATGGAAGGTCTTATCTTGCTTCGCGCTTTCTTCGGAACTATATCCGCTGCAATGAAAGACAAATGAGGATGTAAGTACAAGGTATTCCTGTGAGCAACTCTGATAATCATAGAATCTTTTTGAGATTGTTCTCTTTCTGTCATTTGCACTTTTGGAAATAAAACCCAACCAACCATTCCTTGCTCAGGTTGCGCGGCAAAAATATCAACAGCGTGATGATTCCCTGGGCGGCAAAAGCCACCGTCGAGGTCATTACGATCAAATCAATAACTACCACAAGCGTGAAAGGTGTATGTGCATTAATAATTTATTCGGAGTACATCTTCAGGAAATCTAATGGCTTGAGAACAACCTACCCCAAACATGTCTGTTCAATAAGGGCTGCGGCATAAGACCATCCACGGAGAGAGCCAGTAAGGGAACTGTGAAGATTAGACGCTTTGAGTGATGAACATAAGTAACCTTTCAGCGCGCTCCATCCAAAATCAAACCAACTCATGTGTTCAAGAGAATAACACTCACAAATATCAGTCTAATCTGATTTAAAGTCCCAAATCCATATAGCCTGATAATGAGTTCGGAAGGCTGTAATTGATGATACAAAAAGTGAGAAAAGAAAAGATTAAATCAGCAGTGAGTCAAAAAAGAATAAACTAGATGAGGTTGAAAATTGACCAACCGCGCCGCGTTGCTTCAATTCTTTTAACCACTATAAGAATGTATGAAGAGAGACTTTGTTTAGCCTGTCCTCTTTTCGAAACACTGAACTCGCGATCTGAAAGTTGTAGCTTACACTGGGAAATTTCGAGAATACCCAAAAAAAGGCACAGGTGATTGAAGTATTGAAACCCGTAGCCACAGTCATCAGGATTGCCTGCGTCTGATTTTTTTTTTTTTTTTTTTTTTGCAATGAAGCTGAGTCAGTATGATCTCTGAAAAAAACAGTCCCAACTTGGTCAAGCACCGGACAAGTTAAATGAAGGATCCTTACCATCATTACATTTGGTTTTGAAGCGCTGACAATGGCGATCAAGGCCCCAGATGATACAACAGACAGAATAACAAATGCCTGGTTATTTAGCACATCGTGCAGAATTAAAAAAAAAAAAAAAAAAAAATTGAAGATCCAGGGGAATAAGATAACGTTTAGCTGGTTTAATGGTCAAGCCGAAATTTCGCACCCTAAAGAACGCGCTCCTAAACCAAGGAGGGGAAGTGTCCTTGAGATGTATCAGGAAAACCCAGAAAGCGAGCTCTTCAAGGTGGACTATCCCTTCTCCCGACCAGCCCAGCGCTTTCAAGTAGTAAATAATGTAAATTCTTGCAAGGAAAGACCATGATAATTTTAGTCCTATGAAATGAAGGAAACTTGCGACAAATATCACTTGAACCTGAGACTCACAATCTCGTGTGATCGGGCGACCAAGATGTGTAAGGAACGGGAAAACCTGTTGAATTTTTATTATGCAACCCCAGTACACCACAACATTTGGTAAGCTCTTCAAGGAATTGTAGGATTATTCTAATCACTCACCACCCATCTCAACTGGCAGATAGCCAACCTGGTATTTGATGTACGCGATCATGGCTGCCTGCACAATATAGATTGGTAGACAGACCAGATAAATAAACTGTGAAATAAGTGATTTGTTTTCGAGAGAAAAAGAAATCAGCTTTGTAATCATAATTCCTATGGGCTTTCCAATGTAGGCTAGAGTCTAGATAGATTTGACTTGATGTATACGCACTCTCATTACAAGATGGAAAGAGTTTGTTGGGTCGAGGCATTCCTGACTATTCTTCACTCTTTTCCATCGAAACATAGGTTGCAGCCGGTCATAATGCCACGAATGCCAGAAGTAAAATATGAGCATGAGCGCACATGTGATAGCTTCAAGAATTGCGATTTGTGGGCTGTAATGCATTGCTCTGAGGGTCGCGAAGCAGTCTTGTCAATACCAGCCTCTGATCTAGACACTTCTAATCCTGATGGTTTCTGATCACAACACCGCGGCGGAATGATCGTAAGTTGGGAAGTTAGGGTGGGAATTTAGGAGAGTGAATGTACCAATAAGGAGAGTTGGGCTCAAGGTGTTATACGGAAGCAAAAAATAAATAAAGATGTTGTTGGAAAATTGGGATACTAGACAAAAGGGCTGCCAAGATTTTTGCGGTTTAGGGCTATTCGTATGTATGTGACACATATAGGAACATAAAAGCAACAAGTCCATTTGCTTGGAAGGGCAAATCAGGAGTCGACTTGTAGCTGCATACCCACATAGTCCAGTTGCCCTTACATCTGTGGACCGCCTCCTAGCCTCATTGCATTAGGGCTGAGGGGGATTTGAAATCATCGAGCATGTTTTACCACCTCTACATGCACTTCACCAAATGGTCAATCAGGGCCGATCGCGATCTATGAGGAATACGACTTTGCGTGACTTCCATGTGCGGTACATAGAGAAGGGCTTTGTATGTACTGATGTTCTTGACTTCTAAAATAGCTGTACAAAGCAACTGTATTGAAGTCTTCTGACTGTTGACATAACACGACATTGTGACCCAGTGTCTTCCTGAAGATGAGTTATATTTATGTTAGATGCTTCTGGCTCTCCTTTACTTCTATCGCGCAGTTGGTTTACAAATGGCTCATTCGCCGGCATCATGCACCCGTAGTAAACTGACATTTGACTACGTTCTGCGTGATTGACGCTGGCTTAAAAATAGGAGATGGTAAGGACGGATACTCGTAAGCATCCATTTACATCGACATCATCAGCTACGTGAGTTCTTTTACGCAGAAAAGTAGGGATTATACAATTTTAGTGGAATCCTAAACTTTCCTATTTCTAGGTTCTGACTGTTCATACATACATCTACATCATACACTCCTGCTATGTAGGGATTTAACCCTCTATTCGTCGGAGGCGCTTGCCGCTTCTAGTGTCCTGAGCCAAAGAGCTTTCGTTCAAGATAAACCTAAAATGCTTGTTCAGGCATTTAAATATATAAATTCACAATTTTTGTCTTGAAGCCGGGTTCTCCCTCTACCTCTCACCACTAACTGTTGATGCCCAACTTTCTAGAATAGTGGTTCACCTGTGTATGCATCTCTTTATCGCAAATGGGAATGACATCAAAGGAGATCAAAGATGGCCACCGCACGCAAGTCGAAGGATGAGGCTGTAGGCGGATGCATACTGGTTTGTATACACATCTGCGAAGATGTGCGCTGGTTCGTTCTTTACTTGGACGGACTGTAAGCTTCATTACGAATGTCAATTCACAAAGCACATGATTGAGGGTTTTCGGGATTCCGAGGCTGGTGTAGATGTTGTGATGAGCAAAGAAAGCACAAGCAATACATGTCTCTGGAGGAAAACAAAAATACAGGATCGTTCGAGTTGAGCTAAAGCAAGCCTGATAGCTCGGCCTAATCTCTTGACGACGTGGGATGAGACGCGTCAGGACAATTTGTCATTCAGCAGACGCGCTAAATCGAAGCAATCGTTACAAATTTAAAAAGATGAAATAATCCTGGGAAGTAAACTCTTTATCATCCCCAAAGTGCCAAGCGTCCCAGAGGGAGCGACAGCAACCTCTCAATAATGCCCTCCAGGTAGGAATATAAACCAACCACCCTGAGACTAGAGTGAAAGCGTGTACTGCCTCAGCGCCAAGCGTCTGGAGATGGGGTTCATCAAAAGGCGTAGCGCGTGGGCGCTCTTTGCGGACTCGAAGCACGGCTGGGGGCTGGCTTGAGCCAAAAGAGATTCTCTAAAGATTACATTTTCTTTTGAATTGAAACCTCTTGATCTTGTGATCGGCAAATGTCTGTTTCTCTGAAACAGATTTAAGAGAAGATTAAAGACAAAAGATATGAGCGATAATGGTTAGGCCAGCCTTTCCAGCATCTCGATCCTAATTTGTATCGAATGGTGTCATCAAGAGCTGTTGACTACCCAAGAGATAATCGGACAATTTCCGGCCTCTACAATGAACGAGCAGTCTTGGTACATTTTTTTTCTGCATCACAGTGCATAAATTTCCAACATTTTGAAGTGAAATCTCCCGTTGTTCTATGTGACGCAGAGCTTCCTTCCTCCGTAAACTTTGCCTTTGGCATCGAAGCCTATAGTTCAAGATGCATTCAATCGTTCCACCTAAATATAGATGGAGCAGAAATCATAAGAACAATCAGTCAAACTTATTCTGGGTCCTCCAGGGTACTTCCAGGAAAGATCCTGTGGAAGAAAGAGAGAGAAATAAGCTAGTAGCATTTTCTAACTCACGGGGTTCTTTCCTTATCCTGAAACGAGGTGCTGCATATGTTGATTGGGGATTTGAAATTTCTAAAATGCAGAAGAGAAGCAAAAGTCGACGCACAGGGTCACGTCAGGCCATACTCATCAATGCTGAAGCATCATCTGATAATCGATGATCATCCTGTTAAGAAACCACACTCACCGGATTGCAGGATGAATGGAACTCAGATTTTCGGGTGATTGAGATTCTGTCTGGCTCAATGATGGCGGAGGTCGGTGGTAATTTGTGCGAGGAGAAATCGTTGACATCGTCTGATCAGTCTCCCAGCTCTCCAAAGATCGGGGTTGAGACGGTGCAAAGTATCGGGGGAAATGAGTGAGTGGCGATGCTATTGGATAGGAAATCAAGTTTCCATGCTCCGAATGACTCTTCATTTCGCTGCGAAGGTTCGAGAACTTTTCTGAGTCACAAGGTGGTGAAGCCTCAAGTCTGTCTTCAGGAATGGATTTCGCATCCGCTTTAGCCGCTTGACTGGTGATTTGGGGGAAAGGCTTGACTGGATCTTGCTGAAGACGGCAAGAAGAAGCTCTAGCAAATCTTCTCTCGTGCTTCATGAACGATTTCTGTCTTGAAGGCGGGGGGCACGGAGTGTTGTTTAGATCACTGATACCTGATGTTCCATTTTGCCCAAGATCAGAGAAGCTGAATGGCTGAGAAGAAGAAGTCCCGCTTGTGGGCCGATTGGGTGTTGAAATGTCGGATCTAGGGGATTTTGGCTTCTCGCCGTTGCAGTTGACGACTATAGTGGTGGAAGGGGATGAAGGATTTTCTGGTAAAGCAGAGGGCGAAAATTCTTGTTCTATCGAGTTGGAACGCTCTCTGGAAAAGTCGAAAGATCGATTCAAAGCATTATGCCCCAAGTTCGACGGAGCTTTAGTTTGCCTTTTGCTGTCTTCCATGTTAAATCCGCTAAGCAAGAAAATCAAAAGCAGAGAAAAAAGTCACCACCAAGATTTGGTATCATTCGGGAATTCTTATCGAGAAGGGTTTTCCTTGGAGCTGCAAACTCACCACTCTTTGCTCAAGTTACGCGGCAAAAATATCAACAACGTGATTACGCCCTGAGCCGCAAAGGCCACCACCGAGGTCATAGCAATGAGGTCAACAACTTAAACAGTTGGGATTTATTCCAGGAATGGATAAAATAAACCATAATCATTAGTCCGTTGCGGTAAAAATCACAATCGATGGCTCAAAACTCACCCCAGACCCGTTTATTCAGGAAAGGCTGTGGCATGAGACCATCCGCTGAGAGCGCGAGTAATGGGGCTGTAAAAATTAGGCGCTGTTGAAGGAGAACGGGAAGAATGCACCCTTGAATTTCTGAGGAGGTTGCGTTGCACATTACGAGTTGAGGTTAGTGACTCAACAAAGATCATTCTAATCTCGTTTAGAGTCCCAAATCCATGGAGTCTTATCAACAGTTCGGCGGGCTGTATGGGAGGAGGCAGGAATGTGTTCAATTGGAAGCAGAAGATCTTGAGCACAGAGGTAAATTCAAAGAAAAAACAAAGCTGACTGCGCCTCGTTTTTTCAAGTCCCTCAACCACTACACCGAAAAGTCAAACGATATTTAGCAGCGGGTTAGTTTCACTATCTTGGTGCGCATATTGTATACTCCGAAGCTTACAGCCGGAAATTTCGAGAACACCCAGAAAAATGCACATGTGACCGAAAGATTAAAGCCAGTTGCGAATGTCATCAAAATTCCTTCAGCCTAAATAGAAATGTGTGGGTTTTCATTTGAACAATGATCAGTATTTCTTATTGCTTGGCGAGGTAGCCTCAGAGCAATGTTTGTAGAAACGAGGCCTAAATCGCTTACCAACATCACATCCTGTTTGAAAGCACTGACAATACTGACCATAGTACCGGTAGATGCAAGGGAAAGTAAAATGAATGCCTGATGTTACATTCAAGTTATGTGAAACAATAAATGAGCAAAAATTCAAGGAAAAAGAGACTGTCATCTAACCAAACCATTCAAAACGAGGAAACAAAAATTGTATCGCACCTGGAAGAATTTACTTTTAAACCAAGGTGGGGAGTTCTCCTTGAGATGGATCAAGAAAACCCAGAAAGCAAGCTCTTCCAGGTGGACGATCCCTTCACCCGACCAACCTAGGGCTTTCAAGTAATAAATGATGGTTATCCTGAGGGAGCGCGCAAAGTTATAGTGTAGCGGTTCAGTAATGGGAAACACGCGAAAAATTCCCTCAAAAATAACGAGACAAGACGAAAAACAAGCCGACCGCTCACAATCGGACGTGGCTAGGTGACCAAGAGGTGTACGGTACGGGATAGCCTGTTGCAAACGGATTTAAAACCCAGCGTGACTTCAGCACGCTGGTCTGGACTCTGATTACTTGCTACGTGAAATATTTTCAGTCACTCACCACCCATCTCTACTGGTAGAAAACCAACTTGGTATTTGATGTAAGCAACCGTGATTCCTTGGATAGCGTAGACTGGCAAACCAAGAAGATAAATAAACTGCGTCATCACCGAAATGATCAAAAATTAGTTGATTGTAGGAATGCAGCGCGGGCGTAGTAGTGGATTATAATATTCCAGTAAACGGCAGACACACTCTCATAATCAAGTGAAAGGAGTTCCTCGGTTCTGGATCCGAATGAAGCGTCTTCTTGTTCTTCCTTCGAACCATTGGTTGGAACCGATCATAATGCCATGAATGCCAGATGTAAAAAATAAGCATGAGTGTACAAGTTAATGCTTCGAGAATAGCAATTTGTGGGCTGTAATGCATCTTCTGTGAGTTCCGGTCAGAGAATTTGTGAAGATTTTTCCGTGGAGATTTGCTGCTATGCGCTCCTTTCTCTTTCCGATTTTAAAAAGTGGGCTGATCTGCGTTGGAAATGGTTAGATGGCTGGCGGGATGTATGGGGGACTTAATAAATATGTTTTATAAGGCAAACCTACCAAACATAATGTCCAGTTTCCCATGAAAAACTGAGCGAGAGACAGAAGTACTGATGATCCCCAGAAATCTGTAACCACATTCGCTCACTTCCTTCCTGTAAAGATTAGGTTTTCAGGCCGGGTGAAGAGGCTGAGCATATGTGTTTTGATTTTAAATCCCCACATGCTCTGAGCCGCGATTCTCGATATCCAGTTCCGAAGATCCCAGGAGTAAATGTTCCCTGGGATCCTGCTACAGGGAGAGGAAGTTGGCCTCCATGCGGGTCAGCAAAAGCTAATTTGCTAGTGGTACAATAACGTACTCCTGCTGCTCTGGCTCAGCTGCTCTGTGCCACCTCGCTTGAGAATGTTCCACCCCGAGAGCAAGCGGGAGTTGGAGGTTTGGATCCCTATTGGGCAATATTGATTGGACTGCTATGATCCATGTCGATCTTCTCAATGTGCTACCCTTTTTTATGAACCCTTCTTTCATGTTCATATCCGCCATATCAAGCCCAACTGTCACACCAAACTCGTTGTGTTCCCGGAAATTTCCCGGGAAAAGTCTATCATGGACCCACTCTTCTCCTTAGTCTTACGAATCTTTCATCAATCGTCGATCTTTATCGATATATTGATTTAAATAAATAAGTGAGGGTGTGTTGCTTGTTTAAATATATGCGCGATTTCGACGTAGGATGTGATCGACAGGATGAATTGATAACTAAATCGTCAAAATCTCAAATCGTTCAGCATCACCACGTATCCTTATTCCTGAAGGCATATCAGAGGCAATATAAGACCTCTGAGACTCTCGTTAAGCTTGCTGACCATAGCTGTAGTGGATCCTAGAGGGTGTGGTGGGGGCTAATTGAGACAAAGTCATTAATTGAAACTTAAAGGTGGCTCCTCCAGGGCCTATATAAATAGCAATTTAACCTCCTGAAGCAAGATGTTAATATGCTGCAAGTGCAAGTTGTGTGTTACAGTTCTCCGGAAGCCATTTCCGGCTGGCCATGGGTCACAAGTGAGCCTTCAAAACGAACTGAATCAAGCTCCCAATCATGAATGATCGAGAACGGACAACGTACCCACCAACTGCACACCGCCATCAGATATCAAACCGGGCCCTACGCCATCCATCCTCGGTTTGGGGGTATGTAGCTTATCTGCGGTCGTGAGGTCTACGTGATGATGCAAACAAGTGGAAACGTCACACAAAACCTGTGTTTGTGATTGGCAATCCATGGTTTTCGGTAGCAGGATTAATCTCTGACTCAAACATTACAAACTTGTGCATGCATTTGCGTAAGGTATTCCGCTGTAACACCTTGTCTGCAAAGGCTTTTTCCCGGGCAGGTCGGATCTTCATGGGTGACAAATTTGATCAAAGAAACATGAACACAACATTTCTGGTTTGTTCAGACAATGTGTTTAGATCACTTTCTAGATCCATGTAAATTGGGGAAAGCACCAAGGATTCGAATTTTTCCCATTTTTAACAATACTGAAAATGATTTGTGAATTCCTCAGCTTAATGTAGATTTTTAGGAAAAAATCACTATGTTTTTATGTTGGCCCCAACTTTATGCAGGTCTGCATTGCCAGTAATTTCAGAAACCAATCAGCCCAAAGTTCCTCAGGGCTGACAGTCATTTTTGGAACAGCTGGCAGGATCAAAAAAAAGACAAATGAGCAAAATTGAGACAATGCCTTCTCTGGAAATTTGGCCAATAAGGGAATCCTTCTCATGGCTTGTGTACCTTGGTGCCTTGTGCTCAACATGTAAGGTGTCTCAAAAATTCATGAATATGGCAAAACCATAGAACTGATTCTAAACTAAATTAGCTTTTATTTTCATTTTTTATGTCATTTTCAAACCGTTAAAATTATACAAATCTTGTGATAATATAACATTCTTTTGATCTGAATAATTTAGGAATCATAGTAGCATTTTCCCTGTGTATGGGAAGTATGTACTAAGCAACAAAAAACTCAGAATGAATGAATTGGCTGACATCTGTTAGTTTTGCTGGTAAAAACCTGTCCATACTTTAGGCTGGGCAAAAACATCACTCTCAATCTCTTTTCTATATTTTTAAGATGTTCTGGTAGTAGCTCTATCATATTCTTCACTTGAAGTTCAAGTAATAAAAAAGTGAATTATACATGATGAAAAAAGAGGATTTTTTCAATTATCTTTTCCCCTCTCATTATTTCATCTTCTCCATTGTCGTAATGATACCCTTCTGATTATCTCCCTGACCTCAATCACACTCTTTGATCAGAGGATTAATTAGAATGTGTCTTGCCCAGCCAGCTCTCTGCGCAAGATCCACAGCTGATATCCCATTTCCTGTTCTCACTGGCTGGTAAAGACAATCAATTACTCCTTACCAAACTGGTCAAAACTGAAGCAGCTCAGCCAAGGTGGTTTGTTCTTCAGTTTTGAAAGTTCAAAAGGAAAGTTGAATATAATTCTTCATGAAGGAAATCTCTTTTTTTTTCAAAATGGTTTGGAATATTTTTTCAAACCCTGTCCATGATGGTTGTAACATTAGCCCCAGGGGCTAACATGAGTGGCTCTAAAGAGGGGAAGAGGCTGTGTGCTAGGGTGTTGAGTATAGAATGGGGGTATAGAATTTTACAAGTCTTAATTTACAAGGCTTTAGCCCCGCAATCCATAACGCTTGCAAAATCCTGCCTTGCCGCGCAAAATATGAATTTTGCGAGCTATTCCTTACTAGCCCGACCTTGTAACCCGAAGCCTTGTAAAAAGTCCACCGCAAAAAAGACCTTGCAGCCGTATATATTCGATTTCACAGGGCCTTTTTTGCAAGGCACTAGCCTTGTAATGCAAATTGCGCGCAAAAAAAACCAAATGTCCAAAGGGTAGCAAAATCACAAGGCTTTGGCATTACGAGGCCCAAATTTGTAAAATTGCCCCATGCAAAACACTTCCTGAGCAAGACAAAAACCGAAATTTACAAGCCATCTGGCCCTACTTGCAAGGCATCAAAGCCGAGCCAACTACTTTGCAACTCCCAGCCCAGCCCGCCTCACCCGCTTGCTCCGGCGAGCAGCATCAATCTCGGGCCGTTCAGAAGGTCCCACTGGCCCCTTTTCATCCTGAGCCACTTTATGGGGGGGTGCGGCGCACGAGGATGGCCCGTTCATCCTGATTTTCAACTTCAGGTTTGGTTTCGTTTGATGATTCGTTTCTGTTGAGTAACCAACAGTAGGTCAGCAAATGAAGGTATGGGCAGATATCGACTGATTGGCTTACCTTGAAATTTCATCGGAGCCGTCTTCGATAGCTCTGTTGCGATTGAATCGTTGGCGGAATGGTCAGGCATTTGTGTATCCAAAACTGCAGAGTCCTTGTTGAAAGACTCCAGCATTGTAGAGAGACTTGCAAAGGGTGAATGACCGGTTGCATGTGGATAATCTTTATTGATTTGAGTCATCATTTTATCCACATGGTCCTTCTCGCTAGGGGTCCAGCCACGAGAGTACATCAGCCAGCTTGTGTTTGGAGAAGGTCCACCAAGCTGACTTGGGTCTGGACTGACCAGTCGAGCGTACCCATCATTTGCCCGATCGTTGTGAAGCCACACACCAACCATACCGCCGACCCCCTTGACGACCTTACACCAATAGTGATTTCCGTTCCAATATCCACGAGCAAAAAGGTCGTATCTCACCCCGGAAAGGAACATTGTTGAGGGCCAGTCCAATGCGCCCATGAACAGTTGCTGATCCACAGGGTCCATAATGCCTCCAACATCGACAAAAAAATAGAGATGGGCGGGTGCTTCACCGTTGACAAAGCCAAGGGTGGAGTGCTGGTTGTAAGAATAATCTTGATATCGATCTCCGTGTGTCTCCATCATGGTGATCTCGGACGTCAAGCGCTTGGGCGGGCCGGGTACGGTCTCCTGAGCAGCAACACAGTGTTTGCACTGTAGTCCACACCCACCATGCAGGCCCACTGAATTCCATTGGCTCAAGAGGTCCGCAACGTTTGCATGGTCAATTGAGTTGCAATTGAAAGCCTCACGACGGATGCTGATGACGGACACCCCTCGTTTGAGATGTTGAGTAGCCGCTGGATGTACCTCACAAGTCAGGATCCTTTTCTCTTCGATTTCGAATAAGCCTTTTAGGCCTCGGTTGGGGTTTCCTTTGGGATCCAGAACGAGCTCGATAAACAGGTCAGCAGAGGCAAAATGACCCGCGATGAAGCTCTTTGGTGAGCGGTTTTGGGCTTGAGTTAACAGCGATGTTTGTGCCTGGGTGAGGACGCCGCGGATGCTTCCAAGCTGGGTCAATTCAAAGGTGGTTCGAGCCGAGAAGTGCTTTACCACTGAAGTGAAAAGAGAGGTCCCAGTTCCACTTGAGCCACGATGCCACAGGGGACTGTACAGAGCATACATGGTCTCCAAAGCCGCAGCCAACCAGCAGCGGTTGGCTAAATGCTCCTTGCTGGAGGCTCGATAGGATGGGTAAGTCGAGAATGGGTTACGATCAACGTTAGCTGAGCCCGATGGCCGTCCAAGTTTCTTCTTAGCAATCTCAGGGACAAGCAAATCAGTCGTATCTGGCGCCCTTCCATCGTTGGCATAGGTATGTCGGACTTGAACTTCTTCTCCAATTGGTTTGGCTGGATTTGGAGCTCGTTTTCGTTTCTTTTCCCATCCCAAAGACTGCGCTATGTCTGGTTGACCTTTTCGGTTGGATCCATATTCGATTGATACTCCTCGCATGACGGCATCAAAGTCCTCCTCAAGGACTTTGATGAAGGAGTACAGTTGTATCATTCCTAACATGAGGCATGTTTTTCCTTCACTGAAACCGGAAGACCGAGAATCCTGCTGTCAACAATAGCTGGCAAACTCATGAGAACCGATCATGTACGTACGAGAGCATGTAGTATAATCGATGGAGACTCTCCTGAGCATTTGTGGTCTTTGTCGGTCGATGTTGATCCTCGGGTGCATCTTCCAGCTTGGGACGGCGAGATGGGAATAGCATGGCCTCAACATCGGCCATGGTCCACCAATCTAGCCAACGTTTGGCCTTGGGGAAACGACGTCGGATGGCATCAATCTTCTCCTCGTGGCTGGTGTCACCTTCGGCCGGCTGTTTGATGAGATCCATGCACATGGTCTGGAACACGCTCTGTCATGATTGAAAGATGCTAATTAGCTGGGAGTCATACCAATGCCGCTCTGAATATGTAAAACCGACACTTGCCTCATCATCAGCCATCACAACATGGCGGTTCCTTTTCACCCGAGTCACTTGAGCACGGTAGTGTTCATGACACCCTTGCAGTTTGTCAAGGACAACCTTCTTGTCACACATACCAAAAACTTCCCAATAAGCAGCGACAAAGCCCTCCCGTTGAGCCGCTGAGAAGTCTACGATATTGCAGACCAAGACATCCCGTTCGGCTTCCGTGAAATCCGGAATGACAAACTGACGGAACAAGACCGCAAAGTGGATCTGGTAATACCTCTCGGCCAGTCCTCGTATCCAGGTGAGTTGGATGGGAATCCATCTGGCCAGCTCCTCACAATACATTGAGGTTGAAAGCAAGTAGCCATTCCGAAAAAATCGGTACGTCACATCAGATACTAGGCCAGTTCCATAAACTTTGTGATCGATGTCCCGGGCCAATATACGTTTGCGCATCCATTCCGATTGGAATGTGAAATGCTCCTCGCCTTCCAAGTATGACGACGAGATGATCAGCAAGCCACGCCTGAGCCAAAAGCAAACCATCAGTGTCTCGGGTTGCTTTTTGATGTTGCCATATGTAACGGAATCCACTCACTTGACCCATTTGAACATGTCCGTGATAAACTGATCACCGACACTGCCTCCAAGATGGTCTGGTGTGATGTTCAGTTCTTTGAGCATCAGTTTGCGATAATACCGCAATCGGTCTGCATTCCCAAGGGAAGGGTGGATGTCCAAGACACTGTTGTAAGTGTCTTGCGAAGCATTTGGCTTCCTGATCTATGTTGATGAAAAATCACAAAATATGAGCAAACCTCACCAAAACTTAAAGGATTATAGATATATGACACATACCCTGAGCGAAAAGGCACCTGCTTTAGGATTTTTTGCAATCTCAGCCTTCAGAGTCTCTCTCGAGAGCAAATCTGGCTTCTTAGCCTCGGGCCAGGGATGATTATGTTCACCACGATGACGTAGGATTGCCCATGTTGTAGGCACATGCTCGTCGACTCGGATCAGGGTCTGCTTGCATTCAATGTGTGCCACGTTTCCTGGACATGTCCCGCGTGCACCACGACAATGGGAGTTCCTGAGGAAATCAAGTCCAATGTCAGTTAGGAGAATCAGCAAGTAAGTGTGGATGAGAATGACATTACACTTCTAACCACTCGCGCATATCAACCCGGCCAGTTGGAGGGGCCCCTGCCCATTGACAGTCTGGTAAGTCGCAGGCAAGGACACCCAGACAATAGATCCGCTTGAGCTTCCAGGTGCCTTTTGAGCGGTACTCACTACCGGTTCGCTTTGAAAAACCAACATTGCCAAAGTTGGTGATCGTTTGGCCAGGCAATTTCACAAAGACTGTTTTTCCGTTGGGGCAGATTGGGTACCCCTGTGCATCCAAGGTGCAGCCGTGGTCAATAAAAGTCTCTTCATTCATAGTCGGCAAGAAAAAAGTCTTTGGATTTTGTTGTGTGGCGGTTTCGGAGTCTTGGTCTTCCTCAGTCACCTTTGGCTTGCCGCGTGAGAGGCGGATGGGGATGCTTTTGGCCATGACTAGGCTGTTGTCAGATGCATCTGAATTGCCTTCAGAGTGCCACTCAAGGTCTTCGTGGGTGGGATTCATGTGAGCTTCGACAAAGAAAAAGGTAATGATTGGAATTCCCAAATGGTGGGAGCAGGAGTCACCTTGGCATGGAAATTCAGCCTGAGACACATGGAAAAATCGCACCCACAAGCTCAACCTGCAGTTTGAACAGCCTCCTCTAGTACAGGGCTTTAGCATGTATTGAGCCGATTTGTATTTTTCATCTTGTACAGGCTCCTTAATACTTTTCTCCGGCCCCCTTGTACACGGTGCAAAATAAGGCGCGCAATCTTCATGTTTGATATTGATCACCAGCGTTTTTGAGAGGTAGATTTAACAAGGCTTTGATTTACAAGGCCACCAATGGGCCCGGAGCCTTGTAAAATTCACCATATATGCCCACCACCATACCTTTACAGGCTTCCCCCCTTGCAAGGCTTATGCGCCGCAAAAAGAGACTTGTAATTTTCTCCCGCCCGGTATAGAATTCTTGGGAAATGAAAGAACAATTTTGTGTAAAACAAATACCACAAATGAGGTCTGATTTGATATGCATGGTCCAATGACTCCGATCCAGTCATCAGGATGCAGCATTTGCAATCACAATCGACTTCATTGAGGGGGGTATTTACATATCTTGACAATTGACTGGAGTGTATGCATCTGGATCGAGGGAGGTTTGAGAGCCAAGGTGTAGCCGGCGCCACGACAGCACCACCTACTTAGGGCCACGACGCCACGTTTCGGACCCTTACTTCTCCTTCTAGCCTGGGCTGACACGCCAGCCCCTTGTCTCCTGTTCTGACTAGACCAATTTGGTCTATTCCTCTATGCGGCTCTCCGCTCGTTATACCTTGTGTTTCACCTTTTCTCCTCGGGTATATAAACCCTCGAGCTCTCTCTCTTTCTGATGTTCCTCAGTCATCTAGTTATCATTTCATCTTGTCTATACGTTTCTTAGCAGCTTCATAGTTTTACATTGCATTGCATATAGTTTTAGCATTCCGCAGCCGTAGCCTTTCTACAGTCCTGAGTCCTGTTAGCCCTCCGGCTTCAGTGGTAGCGAGTTCGCATTTTTTTTACTTCTCTTAGATACTTTTTTTTACTACTGTTTTCCCTCGACGCGGCCGATTCCTTTTTCTTCGACGACTTCATTCTTCGATCTCAAGTTTTCTCCCCGCGAATCCTCCTGTTTTTTCTACCTTCGACTCCAGTTCTTCAGCAAATCCATTTGCTTCAACTCCCTTTCGTCGACCGTTTAGATTAAAAACACGAGTCTTATTCCATTATTACTCAGTAGGTTTTTTTCTTTTTGAAAAATATATCGTATCTTTTTGAAGCCCCTTCCGACGATTTTTTGGTCGGGCTTAGACTGGCTTTCATCTTCAAACCGACGAAAAGGTTTCTTTACTTTTTGACTCAAACTGACATCGGATCTTCCCTTTCTGAACGTTACAGAATGGCTATTCCCAGATCCCCCGTTGACAACGTCACTACGCGTCGTGCTCCTCGTTCCGCGAGCTTAGCTCCCAGGCCGCCGTTCAATGGTTTCGATTACTGCGCCGACGAATTGGAGGCGATGACGCATGACGAGAGGTTGTATGTAGCCGAGAACCCGCGTTTCTGGCTTCGAATGGTTCCACGTGTCGCCACGGAAGAACGATCCGAGAGCAGCAACGATGATTACGAAGATCCTGCTGCTACTCCTCTAACTGATGATGGATTTCCGAACGAAATCGTTATGGGTTCCTCGTCCGCTACGGGCGAAGGTGTTCAGGGCAGTTCTCGCGAAGCCGCTACTCAAGCTATGGAAAACCTTCGTTTCAAAGGGAAGGCTCGAGCGGTCTCGGAGGCTGGCACTGAAAAACCAGTTTTACCGAATCTTGATATCCCGGCAGCCCGGGCCGAAACGCCTCGACGTCCTGAAGGATTATCTGATCACACCAACGAATACCTCGGGCATGCACCTCGCGCCCCTGGATACGATCCCTACGCTGATTGGGAGACTAAGCTATCGGTTGTCCTTCGTATCTGGCAAGGGACTAACCGACCAACGTACAACGCTTCGGTCACCAGCGACGCTCGTATCTGGTTGGCTGACATTGAGTTGGCTCTCGAGATGATCCGAGCCCATCCTTCCTTGTGGCACATCGTTGCCTTCAACATGCTCCGCGATCGCGCGCTGGAGGAATTGAAGAAAGCTAAGGCTGAGGGCACCGTTCCTCAGAACTGGCCTGCTTTCAAGACTTGGATTACGAAGGAAAATCCTTTGGCGATCAGCAAACGTTCGGTCGCCCGTGCTTGGGACCAACTTCGACAGGCTCCGAATGAGTCTCTCGAAAACTTCATGAAACGCTTTTCAGCCTGGCAAGTAATGGCGAAAAATTACGATTTCCAGTACGACGAGATTACCGGATTCGTCTTGAAGGTCAACCCCGGCCTTTCTAAAAAACTCGACAGCCTCATGGGCACTGAGGAGCGACGCAAGACTCCGATGGACTTCCGTTCAGTCCAGCAAGCCGCTTTGGAGGAAGATCGTCAATGGCAGGCTAACCGACTAGCGTCGACTTCCGACAAAGGTAACAAACGAGCAACGGCCCCCGACGACGACGCCTCCGGGAAGAAGGCCAAGACAGGCGAACGTGTTTGTTACAATTGTAACAAACCAGGGCACAATAGTTCCAAATGCCCCGAGCCGAAGTCTGAGAAGCAACTAAGGTATGACGCTAAGCGAGCTGCTTCTGGCTCAAACTCTGTTTCTTTAAATGTGTAGTCGGTGCGCAATTGTCTCTGCCACCGACCGTTGTCTCTCCTTGTTTTGATTCTGTTAGCAATAAAAATCTTACGTTCGTTAATAACATTGAGAGTGAGCAAGTGTCTGATTCATTGAAATCAAAAACGGCTATAGCAGCGTTGGCTACAGTTCCATCTGAGAACTTAGCCAGTTCTCCTCGAGAGAAGATTGTAAGTACTTCAAACGCGCACGACATAATTCGTGATCTGTTGGGCAACAACTCTGATCAATTGTTGTCTATTCCTCAGGGTGATGAAACTTTGAGCGTAAATTTTTTTGAGAACATTGAGGGGCGTATAGCTAACGTCCTGATTGACACAGGTGCAGGTTCATCTTACGTTTCGAAAACATTTGTCGGAGACCAAGGTCTCAAAACTTTTCTTTGTACCCCTTTCGCTGTCGCCGGCGCTTTTGGCGAGTGTATCAGCAATAACGTATTATGCAGGCTCAAGTTGTCTCTGGGTTTGTTTTCAGGATTCGTCACCTGTAGAGTGGCCCCGTTATCTTCATACGACGTCATTTTGGGCCGTGACTGGATATCATCGAATGCATCCAGCACGGATTGGGATAAAAATGAGTGGTTGCTCAAGAACAATGATGGCTCTTTAGTTTCTTTCTCCCCAGGAAGAACGGCTTCGAGACCACTTGACTTGGCAATCATCATGGACGACCCCGACATCATCCCTATGTCCCGACGAGCATTCCGCAAGGAATTAAAAAATAAAAAAACGGAATTCTTTCTATGTACGATGGTCGACGGGGACTTGAATGTCCTTGGCCTTCGTGAGACGCCTAAAGTAAGTCTTCCAGACTCCTTTAGTGAGACGGAACCTTTTGGTTCTTCTTTAAAGGCACTGGTTAAACGTTTCGAAACTTTATTTTCGCCAATTGATCAGGTCTCTTCTAAAGAACGGGTGGTTGAACACCTAATCGACACGGCTGATGCTAAGCCAGTTTATCAAAACGTGCGACAAATGTCGCCTCTGTTGCTCTCGGAACTTAAGGAACGGATCCGCAAGTTGCAGGCGACCGGCTTCATCCGGCCGTCTACATCTTCTTGGTCCTCCCCGATCTTGTTCGCAAAAAACGCTTCGGGCTCTCTTCGTTTTTGTGTGGATTACAGGGCTTTGAACGCTCTTACGAAGAAGGATCGTCATCCTCTTCCTTTGATTCAAGAGTGTTTCGATTCCTTGAAAGACGCGAATTTTTTTTCGAAAATCGACCTTCAACAAGGCTTCCATCAGATGAGGATTGCTCCTCACGACGTTCCGAAGACGGCTTTTGGGACGAAGTATGGGCACTTCGAATGGCTTGTGATGCCATTTGGTCTGGTCAACGCCCCTAGCACTTTTCAGCGAATGATGACACACGTCTTACGTGAGTTTATCGACGATTTTGTGCAGGTTTACCTTGACGATATATTAATATACTCACAAAACGAAACGGATCATCTTCGACACGTAGAACAAGTCTTGGTCGTCCTTAAAACCGAGGAGTTGCGTTGCAGCGGGCACAAATGTTCGTTTGGACTTGAAGAAATCCAGTACGTTGGACATTTGGTGTCGCGTAACCACATTCGCCCGATGCCGGACAAACTTAAGGCGGTCGACGAATGGCCCCGTCCCTCAAACGTTCACGACGTTCGATCCTTTTTAGGATTGTGTGGCTATTATCGCAGGTATGTAAAAAACTTCGCCAATATAGCCACCCCTCTTCACGAGCTCACTGCTGGCAACGTTACTAAACGTCAGTCAGTATTGTGGCTCCCTCTTCATGAGGCGGCTTTTCTCAAGCTAAAAGAGGCGCTTGTTTCAGCGCCGGTGTTACTGACGCCTGATCAGACTAAACCTTTTATAATCGAAACCGACGCATCTGATTTTGCTGTAGGTGCTGTTCTTCTTCAGAAAGCGGACGATACTCTATTACATCCTGTTGCTTACGAATCTAGCAAACTAAACTCCTCCCAGCGAAATTATCCGGCCCAGGAGCGGGAACTCCTTGCCATTTTGCATGCCTGGCGAAAATGGCATGTGTATTTGGATGGCGCTGTGGAAACGACGATCGTTTACACTGATCATGCATCATTGGTGTATTTTTCCACTCAGAAACTCCCTTCTAAACGACTCCTACGATGGATTGATGAGTTCTCGGAAATGGACATCGACGTAAGATACAAAAAGGGTTCGGAAAATGTGGTACCAGACGCGCTTTCCAGACGCTCTGATTTATTGTTAATGGAGGTCATTTCTGAGACGCTCCACGACACGGATTGGCCGCTTATTATTCCTTATCACAGGGATGATCGTCCTGTTCCGGCTTTTGTTCCGATGGCCCTTCGAGTGCGAGCGCGGATGAATGACACTCTTTTTGAGTACGACCCCGATGAGGAAACACTTATGTATCTTGGACGGCCTGGTCTTCCAGAACGTTCTCCGTTCATTAGTCGCGCACATCGATTTTCCTTGTTGAATAAGGTGCACGACGACGCCGGCCATCGTGGCCGTGACGCTACCTTGAACTTACTACGCGGTCGGGGATGGTGGCCCCACCGACTCACAGATGTCAAGGCTTACGTCAAAACCTGTGCACAATGCCAGGTGTTCGAACGGTCTAGGGATTCCCAGGAAACGTCGACGCAGGTCCCTTTGCCTCTGGTAGGACCTTTTGAGCGATGGTCCGCGGATTTTATCCAGTTGACGGAAAGTCGTGTAAATAAATACCGTTGGATTTTAACAATTATCGATCATTGCACTTCGTGGCCGATTGCAATTCCTATGCGGGACGCCACTGCGACAAATATTGCGGAGGCGCTTTTGGAGCATGTCATCACTCCTTTCGGCTTACCTCGCGAATTTCTAACGGATAGGGGTTCGAACTTTCTTTCTAAAGGACTTACCAGTTTTTTAGCTGCCGGGGACATTAAGAAATCGAACACTTCTGGATATCACCCCCAGACGAATGGAAAAAACGAAAAATACAACGGGATTCTCGAAGCAGCGTTGTTTAAGCTGAACAAAACCGGGGATCTCAGTCGTTGGGAAGACTATCTCCCAGCAGCGCTTTACTCGACTCGAATCCACTGCAGCGACAGCAGTAAATTCTCTCCCTTCGAGTTAACTTACGGGGTAAAACCGAGACTGGCATCTGACCCACTTAAACCTATCGCTACTGATGTAGCATGTCCTGGGGAAGATGCCCTACGCGAACGTATCAGGCAACTTAATGCAAAACGTGCTGTGGCCCTGACTAACGTTGCCAAACGCTCTGATAAAAACAAGAAATCCTTTGATAGGAAACTTGGTACTGTTCCACCTCGATATGCGGTAGGGGAAGCAGTCAAACTACGAAATGAGTCTCATGTGAAGGGTGCCCCGCGGTGGTATGGACCTTTTGAGATTAAGACGGTACTTGAAAACAACGTGTACATTCTCTCCGATTCCGACGGTTCCGATTACTTACGACCAGTAAACGGCAATTCGCTTCGCCCAGTTTCTCTCCAATCCCTCATCACCAATGAAATGTGGGCGACACCTCCGATAATTGCCCTTAAGGAACGACAAAAAGATGCATGTGTCGCCAAACGCGCCCTTGCGAACACGAAATCCATATCCAAGGCTTCAAAACCGGGTATCCGCCTCAAGTTCGAAGGAAAATTCATTACGCCTCGGACCGGGACGTCCTCTAAAAATGGGGGGGGGGATGTTGTAGCCGGCGCCACGACAGCACCACCTACTTAGGGCCACGACGCCACGTTTCGGACCCTTACTTCTCCTTCTAGCCTGGGCTGACACGCCAGCCCCTTGTCTCCTGTTCTGACTAGACCAATTTGGTCTATTCCTCTATGCGGCTCTCCGCTCGTTATACCTTGTGTTTCACCTTTTCTCCTCGGGTATATAAACCCTCGAGCTCTCTCTCTTTCTGATGTTCCTCAGTCATCTAGTTATCATTTCATCTTGTCTATACGTTTCTTAGCAGCTTCATAGTTTTACATTGCATTGCATATAGTTTTAGCATTCCGCAGCCGTAGCCTTTCTACAGTCCTGAGTCCTGTTAGCCCTCCGGCTTCAAAGGTTGTGTGTGTCAACTTGTTGTGCTGTGTTGGTCAACGCATACAGCCAGCTTGAACCGACCACCAAAAGTTTTTGTCCTTGCCAGATGTCTTCGTTCAAGAGAAACCTCAAGCCAAACAACCCAAACCAAGCACCATCGAGCTATCCGACTGGCTTCCACCCATCTCATTACAATGGGGTTCCAACAGCATCGACTGGGATAGCTTCCTTGGACGATCTCCTGGGAGGAGGACTGCCGATCTCATCTAGCTTCCTCATCGACGAGGACGAGGACGGAGGATATGGGAAACTCATACTCAGATATTCGATTGCTCAAGGCATCGTTTCCAAACAACATCTGATTGTCGTCGGATCATCCCTCGACGAAGGCGGCGATCCAGAGAAAATTATCGATCGTCTGATGTCTTTGGATGAATCTGACGAGCCTCTTGAACCACCTTCATCGAATCAGTCACAAAAATCAACCGCAAGATCCTCCGGCTTGTCAGCAGAGAAGGAAAAGTCAACCGCCCCGAGTGATGCGGCCGATGATGATGATGAGGAGGAGGAGGACGATGATGATGAAGTAAATGCTGATAAGGTGAAAAGTCAACGGATGAAGATCGCTTGGCGTTACGAAAACTTAGGTCACCACCATTCAGAGGCTGGTATGTTTTTATAGACGTCTTATGCACTTTGTTTTCCAATGTTTCATTACAATTAGTGATCATGCCCTCGTTCAACACAGAGAGCATATACCAACAATCCAGGTGCCACGTCTTCAATCTGAGCAAGACAATGAAACTTTCGGCGGATCAACGATCAAGGACCGATTGCATCGATGTCAAGAATCTCGAAGGTTTACCCACTAGTTTACTCGCCCAAATCAAGCAAATAATCGAAGAAAGGCGAAAAGCGTCATCATCGTTACCGTCGTTTCGGATAGTGATTCAATCTATTGGGTCTATAGGCTGGCCCCCGATGGAAGACTTTGTAAGCTTTATAGAGACTTGAAAATTATTCTAACTTAAAACTTTCGTAAGTTTCAGGCTCACTATCTATCCCAGCCCGGCCTGTACGTGCCAATCTAATTTGTTTTTCAAAAAATAAACTGAAATAGGATGCTTTACCACGTCGCCCCGCAACTAATGAAAATAGTGTTATCAGTGACAATTAACAAGTCAAACGATTTATTTCGACCATATAGATGATCTTCCGATTCCTCAAAGAGCTCGAAATGTTACTCCGGTCTACCGATTGCCCGAAGATTGCAATGATCAGCTTTCCAAGCGCCTATCGTTCTCCAGATTTGGCTAAGATGTTACCATGGGCCACTTCTGGGTCTCTATCTCTTCAAAGTTTCGCTGGAGATGAAAAAAGTCAAGCTGCATTTCCGAGTTGAGTTCCTAGATCTAAAGATTTCGATGTTTTGTGATTACCGCAGGGATGGGAACTGCTTATCTAGCTATATTGACAGAGTGACGTTTAATTTTTTTTTTGGTATCAAAAAAAGATCATCAGGGTGCTGTGCACTTCATCAGATTACCAAGTCCATCATCACTATCACCCCCAGCGACGAAGCTTTCAGTGATCCGAGCGTTGGGTGGGGGCTCGGAGGCAGGGATCGGAAGTAATCTAGGATTCAAGTTAGGCCGCAGGAAAGGCTTCCGGATCGAGATGATGGGACTGGGTCTTGACATAGAAAATGAGAACCCACCTGAAGAAGCTTCCACTACACATCAACCGGATAAGCCCTCCGAAGTTCCGGTTGATGGCCTGGACGGGCTCGCAATTGTTAATCCTTCTCAAGTCAAGAAGAAGTCTGCAAAACCGAGATCCAGGGTGAGATTCGGCGATCCCTCTCAAGACTCTCATGACCTCCTGAAAAACACGGATTGGTAGTCGATTGAACATATTCCGCTCTTCTTTATCATATCCTTGTGTTACCAACCGGCACAATAATATCACTGCTTCTCCTGGGTTAATTTTCATTTCTTTTGAATGATTCTTTTATGAAGGGTGATTGCATGAAGAAAGCGATTTGCAGATTTATGATTCATGTCAACCCAAAATTCTGCATAATGGGGCCACACTCTTTTCCAGAAAAACAAAGACGCGCGTCCCCTTGAATGTATGATGAAACTGAGCTCCTGTTCACATCTAAACCCCTATTTTCAATTAAACATTCCTACTCTCCGATGACAGCATGTTCCCAAGGGCTCTGGTGTAGGTTTTTGGCTACCTACACACCACTGTTCTGAAAGATTACGATTGCTTGGACCAGATAGCGTCACGAGCAACATTTATTTATGAAAAAGGTCTAGCGTTCCAGCCCAGAGTCAGCTTCTTTTAGACACACACGCGCGCCACTGAATGAATAGTCAAACGGAACGAAGCCGGCCGCGTCTAGCCTAGCCTAACAGCGTGACAAGGGGTTGGTTAAATCCTTAGTCGTACTTGAGCTGTTTGCCCTTCGACCAAGTGCGACCTCCACCGATCAAACGGAGAAACGAATTGGCGAGAATACTTCCGACTTGGCGAGAGGAGTGGAAGCTTTGTGCATGCGTAAGGATCAGTGCGCTTAAGATAAAGGATGTATCACGCAGGAGAGCTCTGCACGAACAAGCAAAAGAAAGCGCATGGTAAGTGTTGAGTTTACCCTAGAGGCAAGCCGGTCTCGCTGCTTGGTTGATTGCAAAGACTGCCAACAACCGACCGAGCGCTGCTGAAAGGTGACCTGGGTTCCAGGTCATTCTGATCCTGTCTTGACGGGGATACGTAGGACAAAACACAAAAGAAAACACAAGTCCACCAAACAAGCACACCGGAAGGAAAATGGGTCTCAACGGAAGACCCGAGCTTGCAGTCTTGCATGGATGAATGACGTACGTGATGCTCTTGCCGTGTCACTCTAATCCGGAGGTTTTCCTTTAAGAAATGTCCGTAAACAAAAAGCCTTCATGGTCAACGTACGAAGAGTGGTGATGACTGGTTACGCCATGGCCGCTTCCGCGGGATGCCAATCCAGTCGCGTTTGTTGGTTGACATAATAAGAGATAGATCCCCTTTTTCCTTTACTGGTTTCTATCCTCGGCCGATTCAAATGTATTTCCCCTTTCTCAAACGCGGACCACAGTCATGTAGTCCACCTCTTGCGTTTCTTAATTCCATCCCTTGTGCTCACCTGCTGACTTGGCTCGACGGGTCCTACGGAGGCCATTGAGCCAACCCAGTGGCTCTTAGGACGCCGCCACGCTTTCCTTAGTCCACGGTGAGACCACACCCGCTCGCCATCCTCATAAACAGTCGATTGACCATTTGGAAATTTAAGTACAACTAATAATTGGAAGCACCTCTTACAGCAATAGTCTGGGAACCACGCCTCGTTAGTAATACTCATCAAACCCGCTCGCAACAGTCCCAGCATTTATCCAGAAAAAACAACAACTCTTCCAATCATAGCTATGTCGGCAGCTGAAACTATCTCAAATGAAACAACTGGTGCAGCAGCAATTTGCATTTACAAAGCTTTCTTGGATTTGTCGAGTCCTTCAACTGACATGAATTGGATCCAATGTTCTTCTTGTAGCTCTCGTCGTTGGAGCGCTCGAAAAATTAGCTCAACAATCAGTTAATATTCAGGATGCGCATCATATTGTTGAGATAGAGGAGCAAGTCCGGTCAAGCGATGAGATGGTCGCCCGGAAGGCCCTCCTGACTCAACTTCAAACGAGCTTTCTACCTTCACTCCAACAGCAACTCGCCGACTTGATGAAATCCCTCAACCTAACGCCTTCACGAACTGCTCCAACGCCGAAGCTCATTGACACCCTAGAGATAGCATTCAAACTCGGTAACACCTTGAAAGATATCGGCTCTTCAGCCAACACCCTTGCCCCGTGCATCGTTGCGATCCACCAAAAATCCAGTCGCATTGATGAAGATTACGGTGTTTTGAAAAAATTCAGATGCGATGCTCTTCTCTTGAAAATCAATAATTTGATAAGCCACGACCTTAAAAAATTATTTCAGGCATATCTTGTTTTTGTTCGGAGAGGGCAGTTCTCAATTGATAACACCACCTCTTCTGCCGACGGATCCGATGTTCTTCACCGCAGAAACCAGATAATCGAAAAGTCAGAGCAAGTCTCCAATCTCATCGAAGGAATAGTTATATGGTCCCGGCGATCTGACTTTGGTGTTCTTCAAGACGAATGGGAGGACCAAGTGAATAAAATCAGTCAAAGCCTGGCAAAACTAACCGAACGAATGAATTCGGCGAGGCGTCTGCTAGTTGAAGAAATTGATGCCGAGCTCGATCAACCTGAACCCGAAATCAATCAAGCAGTAGATACTCGATCCGAGACTGATGTTTCCGACGATTCTATATCTTATAAGTTTCGTATCAGGTCACTCGTAATCTACCTCATGCAGCTCGCTGTACCGCTTGTCAAATTATGCAGACTGTTCTTCCGCAAACTAATAACCAGTACATCAAAACCGCCTTTCACATTCGGCGAGAAGATGTGTTCTGCTGACATGAAGTGGTTCCAACAGAAAGCGTGCCCGATTGCACTTGACATCGGTATCATTCTGAAAACCTTATATCAGATCTTCGATGCCAACGCACTCAATGGTCGAATTCAACATATGAAGAATGTGGCCAACCAACTTATAGCCCATTTGGATTGCTCCTTAGTCTTACTAAGCTTCCATCTAGTACCTTCAACTCCTCTTCCCGCTCCTGAAAATCTCTTCAAAAGTTACTTTTCCCCGCTGAGATATGAATTCCGTTCTGCCATGGACTCATTCTTAAATGGCTTACACTCTTTGGAAAGGAATTAGCAGAATCGCTCATCTGCCACCACGCACCAAATTTCCCATCAATCTCTATTCTCAGCGTGCTTCCCATACCTCTGTGTTTTATAATCAGATTAAATTGTATTAGTCCTAGTATTTATTTTCAGCTAGATTATTATGTTTGAATAATAGTGCCTCAGGCCTCAGTAGTTTTTCCTTTGATGAAATGTTACTTTCTATGGTGGCTTATCTATAGCATTGACCATGTGTTGAAGATTTCAAATTGTGTATTTTTTATGATTTGCAGAAAATCAAAACATGATTAAAAGCATATCTTATGTGGACCCCATCATTGTGAAGAATTTTCTGGCTAGGAACTGAAGGAGACTGGAATAATTGGTGCTTTGAGATCAAGAAGTTGGTTAACTAAAGCCCAGACTCTTGAATTCTTCTTCATTCACCACAAAAATCAACTAGCCAGCTGCAGAGAAAAATTGTGACAGATCAAGTGACTGTTTGAAATTCTCTGTTTAACATTGCATGTTTCAAACATTTTGGAAAGAGGAGTGGTGGTAATCAACGTCAACATATTTGGCAAAAATTATCTAGCACTGCAAGAGAGTTTCAGGTAACTGGCAGCAGTTGACATGCAGGATACTCTGGTAACCACTTTGTTGCAAATGCATGGTATGCCAGAACAAAGTATTCTGCACAGCCACTATGCATTAAAGTTTGACTCATGTAAGTGTAAAGTAACATTTCAATTGAAGTACAAGTTTCAGTGAAGTCTTTGGATGTCAACTTCAAGCAGTTTCTCAAACTTTTTGTGTAGTGTAGAACTAATGAACAATAAAGGAATTTTGGAAGACATTCAGGAAAAATTGGCAGAGCTTGTGAGTTTCCCAAAATATCATGAATAAAAGAAAAGGAACATGATAAAACATGGAACACAGCTGCAAATAAATACCTGAACTCAATATAGAGGAAGAAAAAAATTGAAAACAGAAGCACATATATTTCCATGGAGAATTCAATGTGATTGTCTTAAGGGTTGGAACAAGTCCATATTCTCCCAAGAAAAAAGTGCTTCTTGAAATTCTTTGCTCCACTTTTTCATTTCTTTGTTTTTCTTGTATTGAGTAATTTTTTTCTCAAATTTCAACTGGTTTTCCTCATAGAAAACAAAAGGATCATTGAGAATTCTGCAGGTATTACAAATGAATTCTAGTTGTTTTTTCAAGAGTTCACTATTTATACCTTCAAAATTTGATTTTTCTATGGCTTCTTTATCAAAAGTATCAATATAATTCAAAAAGTAATATGAAAACACAAATTCATGCGTAGACTTCTTTCTGTCAGAGTTTTTTGGAGGTTTTTGAATACACTTGTATGCATATTGTAGAATAGGTCCAATCTTCCCAATTCTTTCCGTTTCGAAATTTTCACTGTCTGAAATTGATGAAAAATGATCATTTGTTATTTTCTTTTTAAGATACATGTTTTTTTGAAAGAATGGCTTGAAAATTGTAATGAATTCAGAAGTATCAGTTTCCCTGGGGTAAAATTTCTTTTCCAAGGCTTTCATCATGATTTCCAAGGAGTCATGGACCAGGCGCCTCTGGCTTTCAGGATCCAATGCTGTATTAAAAACAAATTTTAGCACCCAAGATGTAGCAAGGGAAGGAAAAAGTCAGTTCAATGTTTGTGCATCAGATAAAATGGTAAAAATTGATAATCTATATCAGAAATTCAGACATACCCTGAATAAACCTGTGAAAGGGCCTCATTCCCTTGCTGGTACCTAGAGATTCTAGTGTTGGATCCACTGCGTGAAGATAGCCAGGCACTGTGTTTGACCATAGAAATTCAAGATAGAAATGGATAAACTGTATGAGGATGTCTGGTTGAGACAGCTGGATAATTTCTAGCAACTCCGTTTCTACTACGTTGTATCCTGAGTATTTCACCAAAAAATCAAAAAAGTTGAATAAGCATAGTAGTACTTGCACCTTGTAGAATTGCAAGACCGTGTCATCTTTGTCTTTCGGATACATGAAAGATTCTTTCAAACCAAGCCATCCTTTTTTAAATTGGATTTCTTTTGTTTTTCTGTCAGTGTTTCCTTCTCTGATACTGATGAGCTTAGAAGCTTTCTCCTTGTATGCTGGATTGGCATATGTTCTAGAGGGTATATCCATTTGATTAATTTCTTTTCTCAGACTCTCCTTGTCCAGTAGATCATCAACCTTTAATTGCAAGTACTCATAAACGTTTTTCAACATGTCATCCAAGCCCGCAGTTGATACCGAATGTTTAACGTTGGATTCAAGCTGTGTAGCAATATGGCTCCATTCCTGTTCCAAGCTCTTGAGCTTGTCTGTCAACACAAGTCAATTTAAGTGTGATGATTTAATATGAAAAGAATAAAGACAAACCATGAGATTCACCTTGACTCATCGAAGGGGCAACCTCGTTCCGCCCATGCGCATGGTACCCGCTGACTGCTTCCGGGCCCAAGGCAATGTCAGGCACTACGTGATCTTCCGCCTCGCGGTCTATGCTTCCCACAAAGCCAGCTGTACAAAACAACCAGAAGAACAAAGGTGAGTCGAGATGGCTAAGAAGTTCCCGATGAAAAACATGGAAATCTCTAACCGATCGCGTCTGGTGATGAATGGGGATATGCTAGTACTTCCAGTCGAAGAGCACCTAATATGTGCAGGGCGATGTAAAAGAAAGAATTGCTTAAAAACATACTCTTGGTAAAGGATAATGTATTTATCACGTCAATTCAATATATTTATAATGTATTTCGTAGCTGTTAATTAATATTTCTATTGAAACCTGAAAGAGTCAACGCTGTGATGATGACGGTATTGGGGATCGGACCGTTAAAGACGGTTGAAGAGATCATGGTGATGATCGGGGATGTTGCATGACTCATGGATTATTTTCTCATTCATCATGTTGTGTTTTGTGTCTCGTTCTCTTTCTTTTTCCTCATTCGATCTTATTCTTTCGTCTCACATTCTGGTCGACTCGAAGTTGTCTTATCTAAAAGATATATTATCTTTTCTCCTTTCCTCGGTTCTTCGTCGCTTATACTAAGCGTGCTCCTCATCACAGGTGTAAGTACTGTCATCATAATGGTTGTTCTCTTTCATGATTCTGATGAATACTATTCGATCTTATTCTTTCGTCTCACATTCTGGTCGACTCGAAGTTGTCTTATCTAAAAGATATATTATCTTTTCTCCTTTCCTCGGTTCTTCGTCGCTTATACTAAGCGTGCTCCTCATCACAGGTTTGTCTTATCTAAAAGATATATTATCTTTTCTCCTTTCCTCGGTTCTTCGTCGCTTATACTAAGCGTGCTCCTCATCACAGTTTCTTAGGTTATGAGCCCAGCGCTCTAAAGATCTTACTTTTGAACGAACGTTTACCTCTGAACGTGATGACGGAATCTCACGAAGCAACCGTTGCTTTCGATGAAAAAGCTGGTGCTAAGAAGATGGTCGTCCTCACGGACGATACCTTTGATTCTTGGCGAACCTCCCTAATCAACCACCTTGTTCTCAAGAATCTAGAGGACTTGGTGCTGGGAGGTGATCCTCCGGCTGGTGTCACTGACACCATCGCTCAACGGAAGCGAATAGCGACGACCATGATTCGCATGTCACTGGACAAGGACAATGAATCTCGATTTGTTGATCGAAACAAGTTGCGAGTTTTTGAGCCTCTGGTTTTATTCGACAACATTGTCCGGTATCATGTCGGAAAGTCTTCCGAAAACGCAGCCTCAATCTGGGATCGAGTGATCTCATCTACTTGGCTGGAAGGAGACTTGGAAAGGAGTGTTACTAAATTCCGTAACGATTTTAATCTTTTGATGGAAATCAAGCCTAAATTTCATCGAGCTACTTTGGACTCGGTGTGGGCGCACATCATACTTCGACGTCTTCCGTCTTCTTTTGATCTCATTGCTACTATTCTGCTTCGGGAATCTTCTGGAGATGAGGATCTTACTCTACGGAAAGTGTTTAACGAGATTCATCTTTTCGTGAATCGTCGTTCTCAAAAGGAAGAAATCAATCATGCTCTCGCCGTGAATACTTCTCAAAGGCCGGCCTTTTCATCAGTTGCGCCGGTTGCTTCTTCGACCCCGACTTCTGTTCCGGTCTCTTCAAAAAAGGAAAAGAAGAAGTTTGTTCGTGAATCTTGTGAAGACGGAGCTCACAATCCACGCACATCGCATAAGGAGTCAAATTGTTTCACACTTCATCCGGAACTTGCTCTCGCGTTCTTTCAAGCCAAGCAAGCAAAGAGTGTATCGGTTCCGGCATGGGACAACATGAAGACTTTTGCGGTTGGATCTTCCGACTCTTCGGGAGAAGTGATTCTGGATAGCGGGGCTTCGGTTTCTATGTTGAATGACAGGTCTTTCTTCGACTCCGTCGTTAAGAAACCAATCACTTTGTTCTTGGCGGATGGGAAGAAGATCGAAGCGGAGGGATATGGGGATGCTGTTCTTACAACGGTATCAGGTCCTCTATTCTTGGGCAGTTCAATCTATGCTCCAGCTTTATCTTCTTCACTAGTGGCGGCTTCTTCTCTTCTCAGGATGAAGATGTCGGTAATTCCAATGGATTCCGATCGATATCAAGTGGTTAATCATCTCGGTTCCACCATTTTTCAAGGAACCTATAACGAGGGTGTCTTGGTGATCCCTCAAATCAAACTGAATGTTAACAGTGTAACTATTTCTCCGGTTACACTTCATAACAGGATGGGTCATCCAAGTGATGCTTTTCTCAAGGAATCTTTTCCTGGAATTCCATTCTCTTCGGTCGAATGCGATACTTGTTTAGTATCTAAGGCGACTCGTCAGCCTTTTAAGGGAACTTTTCCCGAACCTGCTGGTATCTTGGACGTGGTTCACATCGATCTTTGTGGACCGATTTCTCCTCAGACACCAGCAAAGTCTTCCTATTTCTTGCTGTTGATCGATGGCAAATCACGATTCCGTTTCGTTCGGTTTCTCGCTCGAAAATCAGAATCTTTTGATGTCATCGTCGAACTCTTCAATCTTATGGAAACTGGAACTGGTCGAAAGGTTAAGGCTGTAGTATCAGACAATGGGGGGGAATTTGTTAATAAAAAATTCTCTGACTATTTCAAGAGCAAGGGAATTGAACCTCTTCGAACGGCTCCGTATACTCCTCAGCAGAATCCTTTCGCTGAGAGAAGTAATCGGGTGGTCGTGGAGAAGGCGCGCTGTTTATTGAGAACGGGGAACCTTAGTTTGGTTTGGTGGGCGGAAGCTGTCAACACAGCGGTGTATCTCGTCAATCGCACTCCCAACGCTTCTCTGAACATGGACTCTCCTTATTTCGTGTGGCACAACGACGAGCCTAGATTGGATCATTTGAAGACATTTGGTTGTGAAGTCGTTTATTATGAAGAGAAGCTTTCTCGTGATTCAAAAATGTCATCTTCCGGTGCAAAAGGAATTCTTTTTGGGTATCAAGAAGGTCACAAGAATTATAGAATTTGGTCTTGTAAGAAGAATGTTGTGATGTTTACTCATAATCTTCGTTTCAAAGAAGATCATTTTCCGGGAATTCAACTCAATTCGCTTCCGTTATCAATTGACGCGACTATCTTCGATTTGCCTGCGGTAGAAGAAGTCGTTAATCCTAGTCCAGCAAATGTTGATTTGGGAGATATCGGTGAGGGTAGTACTTCACATTCTGAAGGTTTCCATGATTCGACTTCTGTCATGGAAGATACCCCACGCGATAGTTCATCACGGTCTGATGATTCCCAGGTTGAACAGTTGCTGCAGGGTTCTAATTCTCATTCTAATCAAGAGAATTCTGAATCTCGATCAAAAAAAGGGTATGCAAATGTCCCGTATTATGACATTGCCCCGCGTAATATTACTTCCACTCTTTCGGAAGACAATATTATCCTTACACGTCGCCGTGCTAATAATATTGTTATGGAACCATCAGCATCGGATCCATTGTCTTATAAAGCGGCTATTGCATCTTCGTCTGCGCTTGATTGGGTGGCGGCAATTGATGTTGAACTTCAAAATATGGAACGTCATGTCGTTTGGTCGATTCGTAAATTGATTCCTGGTTGCAAACCTCTGTCTTGCAAGTGGGTCTTTAAGACTAAATTCAATATGTTCGGCGAGATCGATAAATTCAAGGCTCGTTTGGTTGTTCGGGGGTTTCTGCAAAAGGAAGGTATTGATTATATGGCAACCTTCTCCCCTACCGGACGTCTCATGACTTTGCGTACGGTTTTGGCGGTTTCTGCTCTCTTGGATCTTGAATTGCACCAGATGGACGTCAAGTGTGCCTTCCTGAATGGCAAACCGGACTGCGACATTTTTATTCAAGTTCCCGAGGGTGTAAATGTTGATTTGAAGCCGGGTGAAGGGCTTTATTTGAATCAATCGTTATACGGCCTCAAGCAAAGCCCGCGCATGTGGCATCAAGCTCTGTCCGACTTCTTTGCCGAAATAAAATTTTTCCCCACGGTTTCCGACCCTTGTCTTTTTCTTTGCAAGGACGATGAATCGACTTTTATCTTTGTTCACGTCGATGACTTAATCATTGGTGGGAAATCGATTAACTGGGTGAAGGAACTGTTGAGTTCCCGTTTTGAGATGGTCGATTTGGGGGAATGCAAGTTTGTTCTGGGAATTCGTGTCGTTCGAAACCGGCCGAAGCGTCAAATCTTTATGGTTCAGGATCAATATATCAAGAATATTCTGAAGGAATTTGGGATGTCTGATTGTAACGGTACAAAAACGCCTTTAATTCCTAAAATCAATGGCAAGCCGAATGAATCAGAGGATGTTTTGGACAGTTCAATCGACTATCGACGTGCAGTTGGTTTACTCAACTACCTAGTTCAATGTCAGTTGGTTTACTCAACTACCTAGTTCAATGTACTCGACCAGATCTAGCTTTCACTAGCAGCTTCCTGTCGCAATTCTTGTTGGCGCCAACAAAGAAATCTGTGGGTGGATTCCATCATTGTTTGCGTTATTTGAAGGGGACGATGGATACCGGAATCCTTTTGGGAAAAGGAGAGAGCAGGATTATGTCATGGGCGGACGCGGATTGGGGCGGTTCTATCGATGGGCGATCGTTTTCCGGGAATCTGGTAACGTTTTTGGGTCCCGTTGCGTGGCGCTGCTCGAAGCAGCCTGTTACTGGTTTGTCGACTACGGAGGTGGAGCATCGCTCGTGTTCGGAATCGGGTCAAGATATTTTATGGCTATGTTCGTTATTAGGCGAAATAGGCCCTTCTCTTAAGGTGGATATGTCGGGGGAACCGACACTTTTAAATGATAACAAGGGAGCAATTGCTCTTTTGGAGAATCCGCTCTATCATCATGCCACGCGTCATATCAACATTCGCTTGCATTGGATTCGCTTTCATATTGGGAGGTCTTTTGGTCTACTCTTCTGTCGTTCGGCGGACAACTTGGCCGACTTTCTCACAAAATCTCAACCAGGTGCGGTGTTATCTAAAAATAAAATTGATGCAGGAGTAATCACGTTGGAGAACATGGAGGGGTGTGATGATGACGGTATTGGGGATCGGACCGTTAAAGACGGTTGAAGAGATCATGGTGATGATCGGGGATGTTGCATGACTCATGGATTATTTTCTCATTCATCATGTTGTGTTTTGTGTCTCGTTCTCTTTCTTTTTCCTCATTCGATCTTATTCTTTCGTCTCACATTCTGGTCGACTCGAAGTTGTCTTATCTAAAAGATATATTATCTTTTCTCCTTTCCTCGGTTCTTCGTCGCTTATACTAAGCGTGCTCCTCATCACAGGTGTAAGTACTGTCATCATAATGGTTGTTCTCTTTCATGATTCTGATGAATACTATTCGATCTTATTCTTTCGTCTCACATTCTGGTCGACTCGAAGTTGTCTTATCTAAAAGATATATTATCTTTTCTCCTTTCCTCGGTTCTTCGTCGCTTATACTAAGCGTGCTCCTCATCACAGGTTTGTCTTATCTAAAAGATATATTATCTTTTCTCCTTTCCTCGGTTCTTTGTCGCTTATACTAAGCGTGCTCCTCATCACAGTTTCTTAAACGCTAGCTGATGGAAGCCAATTCTCCGTAGATAGACCCGCCTATTTATAAGAGTTGAGCATCAGCCGCAGTACACAAACCAATGAGCTAGGCATTACAGGTGAACAACTCATGGTTCCCAAAGTGGCGGCCTAAAACACACCTAAGAGTGACGCTGAGAGAATCATTGAGATAAGCACAACTACCTCTAAACTTAAAGCGACAGAATTGGAGAAACTGTGGAGAGGTGGACTGGGGGCAAGATTGTGTCGTGAAGAAGAAGTGCGGGGCGCTGAAGTGTGTCTTAACTCGACGAAGCAAGTATCCAAAGCCAAACCTTCAAGTTTAGGTAATGCACCCAATTAGACGCAGGTTTGAAATGTGCTTTGCGATTCACCTGGCCATTGGCTATTGCTTTAATTTTCTTTGCTAGGGAGAAATGTCAAATATTGATCGGCAACCATATTCTCCACAAAAGGTGACAGATAGTCACAAGTACAAACCCTGCGGATTCAAGCTTATCATCAATTAGTATCTTGTACCAGGCCATTTACATGTTGACAGCTTCTGTACGGAAGCCCAGGTACGACAGGATCGTGCCAGGGTGTATACCGCATATGCTCAATCCTAAAACCCGAAGCCAAAATTCCAAAAGTTGCAAATGTATTTACCCTCATCACTAGCTAGGAAAACCAAAAATCCAGATCAGTATTGGGCTGTAAGGGGTTGGTAGGGGTAGTCGAGTTTGAACTGTGACCCAAGCAGGGCTACCCCCATGTACATATTAAAGCAGGGCCTGGTTGTATGAGACCACTTGGCTTGCCCCAAATCAACATGCACTTGATGAGTTCTGGCCGGATCAATCCCAGAAAATCAGACCAAAGAAGCCATTCCGGCCACCTCTCAGAAAGGCGACCCTGTGGGGTCTCTCTGTTGCATTGCAACTGCTCATCTCCAAGTCGGAAACAACTGGCTAGCAAGGAGTTACCTCCCAACAATGCCGCCTGACCCTTCAGGGGCTCTCCTTCATGTTGGAAACCCCAAGTGAGCTAAGTGTGGCATGGATTTCGACAACCTTGGGCACTCATTGGGTATCATTGCTTTTATGAGCACACATTAAAGTGGCCCTATGTCCATGTGAATAATCCCCACCAATTCCGCTCATTTTAGATACTTAATCAAATCATAGTCTGTCTACATTCATTTACACATATTTTTTGAACTTTTTCACCGATCATGCCCCTCTGCTTAAAGTGCCAGCGCTGGTCTGACCATGCACTTGTTGGTGATGCTTGTCACGACTGCTTCAAATTCCTAGGATTTAATGTCGACAAGATGGCTCATCTCTTTTCAGGGACAACCCCATCACCCGCACCTTCCACTTTGTTGACTAATTTACCGCCTCCCCATATGCTCCCATCTGGACGCAATAGTCAGATAAAAATTACGACTGCTCCTTCTCATAGTCACTCTACAACCATGTTGAATTCCCAAACCATCCAAAGTAGTTTAAATGTCCTCAAACCACCATCCAATCTACCTTCCCCCTTCCCTAGTCACCCCAATCCAACCAAATCTGTTCCTCCCATTGATTCCGGTTCCATGGCTCACTTTCGTAGAGTTGTGAAGGAAAAACGTGTGAAACCTACCAGTTCTGGCTCAAGCTCTAAAAGACCAAAGACTAGTGTGACCACCCCCCCTGTATCAGTGCCAGCAAATTTGGCTAAACACCGCGACTTTGGTTTCCTTCTATACGAATCTGATCTTCTTGTCAAAAACACCGGTATTCATCACATCAAGCAACCCTATGACCTGGATAATCCCAATCTTTACAACGATTTGTGCACCAGCCTTTGGGCAATGTTTTCTCCTCAAATCTTGACCAAAACACACATCACCTCCCTTCCAGCTAACCCCGAAGATTACCTCTGCCTCAGTGATGGAGAATCTCGAATTCCAGACCAAGAAACCCTTCTTGGTGTCCTTAAAGAAGCAAAAGGAAGGAAAGTCGCCCACATCAATCTCACATGCGACCATCCCTTCCCTGGCGATGATTCCAATTCCGATCCTACCTCATCCCCCCCCAAGAGATATTCCACCCGTGCATCAACGGCAGCAGCAAGTGCAAACCACAAGAACGGTGGCTCCTCGCATGGCCAAACTAAGAAGAAGAAAGAAGCGTGGGCCCTTGGGCCACTAGCTGGTAAGCACAGGTGTCACCTTATTGCTAAAATTATACTAAATCCCATAAACATCTGCATTTAATTAGGAACTGTGGTTGCATGCAGGGATGGAAACCAAAGTCTGGCCAGTAAGATGGCGATGTTGAGCAAGCCAATGCCCAACTACTTGGATATCAACTCTGATGGTTGGTTAATTGCACAGAGACTGGTGTTTGATGGGATCGAGACAACCAAGGCCACCACCGAGTCAATCATCATCAAAGTCAACAAACAAGAGATCATTGGTACCGGTGGAATGCGAACTACTTACGCTGCTCAAGTTAAAACCATCAATCAAGAAATCGAAATCATCTCTGACTATGTTGCCAAGGTCATGAAGGATGTGCGACACCAAGACCTCAAACTACATGCAGCTGATGCCCGCATGTATGAGGCATGTGCTGTCCTTTTGGAAGAGTACCGATCTGTTGTTCAAGGTTCCCGAGGCTTGCCAATGAGCACTAAAGCCAAATCTGGACAAATGCAGGCAAGTTCATCTTTTAACTCATTTGTCAAATGACCAAACATAAGATTGAACATGTTCTGCCTTTTCAACTCCCAGATTATTTGGCATTCAGTGGTTTTCACTGGTGACATCCATTTCCCAACCAATATTTATTTCTTTGAGAAACGTCTAACAGGGCACTACGTTAAATATTCAAGCAACACCGACTTCAATATTCCTATCAACCAAAATGGGATGGATCCAAAAATGGCTCAGCTTATGAATACTTTCACGCACTGGACCTACAACACTTCCAAGGGAAAAAATTTGGTTGCAGACTTGCAGGGAGTTGGTCCACTCATCACTGACCCACAGATCATCGATTTGGATGACCGGTGAGTCCTAAATGAAATTCTTGATGACAATTCTGGCACTAACCGAGAATTTTTTAGCCTCTGGACTCTGGGAAATAATTCTGCAGATGGAATACAGGCCTTTATTCGTGATCACCTCTGCAATGAAGTATGCAAAGCCATTGGCCTACCTGATGTGGGTGATTCCGAATGGGAGAACAATATTCCTGGAGATGGCTCGAATCAACAACCAGAAGTGCAAGTTATGAACCACACAACTCGGCCAACCAGAGCACCTCGGGCGAGTGGCTCTCTGACTCGCCTACTTGTAGATTCTGATGATGATGGAGTGCTCCCAGATCCCAATGATTTTTTCGCCACCCATTCCTCCTTCAAGAGCCTACAAAACACCAGTACCTAGATTTGATATCTTGACATCTTGCCAAGAAAGATTGATACCAATAGTAGACTTTGACCCAGATGAGATAATTTTCATTCAGTTTCCGAGTTTCTATATTTACTCTAAGACTTTAATAACTCTCACTATTTTCCACTTCATATTCTTACTTCTTGGCCAAAACAGAATCCACAAAGATCTTCTTCTTCCGACTCACTTTAATTTTGTCTTCTACTGTCTTTTTCTGCAGATATACACTCCTTTGACTACATTTAAAAGTTTCATAATCATTCGTTTAACATGGAACTTTTGAAATTCAATTCTTCAATTTTAGGAAGTTCAGGAATTATAAGTGTCTGGAAAATAAATAACAATCATAAGTGAGAAGGGAAAAAAGACAACAATTGATTGGATCAGAAGACAATTTAATTCAAATAAAAAAAATACTATTTCTTTTTTTGAGCCTGTTTGGCCTCTTTCACCTGTCTTTTTTCTCGGCACAATGTTTTCTTTGCTCTTTCTTCAGCTGATTTTTCTTTTAATTTGATAGCTCTATCTACTAAACGTTTGCAAATCTGAAAGGAAGTTCCGGAATGTGTGATTTCTGCAGTTGATTTCAATGAAGGGGGTGGATGTAGAGTGTGGTGCTTCAAAGAGTTACTTGCCCATAACAGCTCAATTATACCGGGGGACATCCCAAAGTCAATTTGACAGTTGAAGTCTGGAAATCGGAAGGCATGACCGGGGACAGAAGATGGAGGCAAGACAGGTTTTCCAGTTGATCGGTTGATGTAGCTAAACAAGCCATAAGTCCACGGATTTGAGTCTTCATCCATGTGGGGTTCATTTGAAAAATCTGAATGAGTTGTGATCACACTCGAAAAAATCCCATTAGTTTCCTGTTCGAAGTCATTCCATTCGCTGTTGGACCAGCTGGGGATTCCAAAAGACTCGATTATTTCGGCATTGTCCTTGAAAGATTGTTTGGAAAAATGCCGTACTCGGTTGCATAAGAATTGATTATGATCACCTAACTGATCCCAACAATAGTTGTCCAGCTCCAAAATTTTTTGAGAAAGATTTTTTTGACGTGCATATGTACCTGGTACAAAAAATTAACAAGCCATTACATCAACCAGGAGTGAGTAAGAGATATGCAATGGGATGGAAGTACTAACCGGCAGTGGAACCCCGATCAGAGCCAGGGCGAAAGCCAACACCTTTCATAATACCAGTTTCCATGGTGCGGGGATGGATATCCTGTCGATTGTTACCCATGAAGTACAGATTTGATATTATTTTGCCAAGGTTTTTGACAACTGCTTTCTTAGATGGATCGGTAGGATTGAGAGGATGGAACTCCAGAAAGAAAAGGGTTTGTGACCCAGTATTGTTGGTGGCAACCACACGGTGGGAAGAAAAGTTGGCTGGCTGGATGATGAATGGTTTTTCGGCATTGAGGTTGAGCTGGAGGATGAATGGTTTGACATGCGGGTTGGTCTCTTCAGTAAAGTAAGGGTTGTATATTCGGGGGAAAATCTTCAAATTGCGTTTCTGGCGTTCGCTGAGCAGATTGTCTTGTTTGGTGGATCTTCTGGCTACTGATTCCAAGGGACCCCATTGACCCCTTGGGATTTGATCGGAAGTGATATCCAAGGGACCCCATTGACCCCTTGGCTGCACATGGCTAGAATAGACAGGTCTGTAGCAATCGGCTCGGGCAAGAGGCATGTATCGATCGATTTTTAGTTGATTTGCAGGAATCGGATCATTGCCTTGCACGGTTAACTTGGAAGCCGGCAGACAAGGGGATCGCTGTTGGTCCAAAGGTTTTCTAATTTTGATGTGATGATGTTGATGATTTGCATATGGGTGATAACAGTGAGGAACATGTGAATCCAAACAATGTAAATTTAAAGTTGTAGCTGACTGATCCATAGGATAACGTTCCACTGCAGTTGAGCTGGATTGATCAGAAGGTGCTGGGATTGACATCTGATCTTGATGAAAATAAGTGATCGGACGTGAGACTGATTGATTGAAACAGTCCTGACGATGAGAAAAACGTTGACGATGGGGGGGTTGAACATGCGAGACCGATCGATGATCTTCATCAGATCGAACACGCTGGTAGCTGATTTGTGCTTGTGATACCGACCAATGGTAACTCTTGTTTGCAGCGATATAAGGTGGATTAGGGATGTATCGATCTGGAGAGGAGGAGTGAGCTTGATTCTTCCTTTCAGGCAATCGGTACACATGATGTTGCTTGATTGGGGGTGACCGATACCTCAAGCTGGAGTGAGACATTCTCCAAGCCAAATTGGCATGAGAGGGGGTTAGCTGTCCTTTCCCCAAACGCGACTAGATGGAAATTGAAACCATCAATTGTAATCTCTGAGGTAGTCATCTGGATTGAGTTGAACAGCACATACTCCTTGCTTATTGTGTGTTTGGCTGAGATCGCTTTTCGTACCAACCTATCATGATTCCAGGAGCGACTTGATCAGAACCCTGGAAGATGCATAAGAATTGATTGATATGAACATTTACTTGATTATTTGAAGAGTGATTGCCTGTAACATCTGTTTGGTAAGCAAAACCGAAAAGAAGTGATCAGTAGGTGTTAGCGAACATAACCAAAGAAAGGGACAAACTTTTCTCTGGGTCCATTTGTGAATGGTATCTTGATGAATCAGTTTTGGGCTGTGTGTGGAATGTTGAAATTGAATGGATGACCGGTTGAGGCGGATGTTCAACAGAACAAACTAGGCTTACTTAGGCAACACCAGCTGATGTACATAAACTATTTTTAGTACTCACTCCGAGTGACCTATCCGGATTTGATCCGCCTATACCTCGGTCCGCCAACTGGCAATCAAGAATGATGAGACTACGAACAACAACTACAGCAGCAGCCACCCTTCCAATCTAAATGGGCTCTCAAGATGGCACGGTAATTTTTTTTAAAATCAGCATCTTCTGTTTCTGGTATTACAGAGAATCTGAGTCCATTATTTCCTTTTCCTCTAGGTCTAAGTATCTCTCACAAAATCAAAACAAGGAAAATACGAACGCATTCACCACCGAGAACGTCCCCTCAGGTTGCATCTCTGGCACGAGCCGATAGTCCCAAGTATGATGAACAAAACACGGCTTCAACAGCTTTTCCGTGTCGTAACATGACCATTCTTTTTGTTAATTAGATCTCGTGGATTCTATAGACCGATCCACTTGATCCAATTCAATTTATTCTAGTAATCCAGCTGGGCCGACGGTGTTTCTGAGATGCCAATCAAGACAAGCGGGGTCAAAGATGGACCAATCATTAATCTCTCACCTCGTCGATCTGGTTGACAAGCTTAGGATCGCATTGGCCGACCATCTCGGCAATCGACTTATAAGCACCCGTGGTCCAAGACTCAATGACCACACTCAATCTTTGCCTCTTGCTCAACATTGATCCTACAAGACTATATCCGCGATCCTGACCAGTCGCCCCTCCTGAATCCAAGTCTACAAGAACGTGATTACTCCTTCTGGTACCGGTTGTAAGATGCTTGGTGGTTTGTTGACCAAGCAATTTATCTTGATCGTCCCAAAAGGTACGCGTCTCAGCGATTAACTTGACAAATCTTAGGAACTTTTTTTTGACACTCCTCTTCTTGTTTCATCTTTGCCGATCATCTCCAAGGGGAATTCTACTGAGGTGTTGATCTTATTGTCTGCTGTCCTGTCCTGCCCTCAAAGGCATTATTGACTGACCAACCACTCGTAATCATCTCGCTTGAAGACGTGCTCAAAGCGCTACTCGGCGAGCCAATCTATGACAAGACCGACCTCGATGGGCATGGTCACATGGCTGTGCCGCCTTATGTGCCCCCAGAAGCCGCGTGCGCGCTGAAGAATGAACCCTCGTTTTTGTTGCCTTCCCCGGACTATGATGCCAAGTCCTCCTTGTATCTGTCCGTCGGTTACGAGAAACGGCTGAGATTATCTTGTCTGACGGGCTCTCATCCAAAAAAGATGCCCCATCACAGCAGGTCTTCGACTTCGAGGGCGCGCAAGTCAATCGAACTTTGTCGGAAGTTGTAGAGGTAAATATCCTAGCAGCTGATTAAGACCGGTAGGGAGGATCTTCACCCCAGTTGCAAGCCGAGTGGGGGGGACATTGGCGGTAGACATTATCGTATCTCCTTAGCCCAGCTCTTGTCTTGTCTGGGCCTTACTCTTGCAGAGTGCAATGCCCCTAGTTTGCGGTTCTCCAACGCCTGCAGTGCAAGGCTGACGGTGGAACCAGGATAGCCGCATTGAATGCCCAAGCAATGTTGGTGCCCTATTCCGGTGGCCCAGGCGCATCCAAAGTTGCTGATGTGCATGTGCCTTTTTCTTCGACTTTTTTTCTTTGGGGGTTCGCCCCCCCCGCTGCCACCCTAAATTTGATAGCATCTTGATCACTTCTTGTTTTTTTCCTCTCATTTTACATGTGTAGATATGAGTGAAGAAGCCTTGGTTCTATATGTAACAATTCTAATATGTTAGAGCTTACATCAAAAGCAAGCAGAGAAACCTAAATACATGCAAATCTCTAGGAATGAGCTGGGACTTCTAGTTTTTCTTCCCAAAGAAGGACAACTGAGGGGTTTAAGATAGAGGAACATGCATTCATATTGTTACATTGGAAGAGTGACATTCAGTGAAACAGAAATCAATCTGATAAAGTGGTTTTCTTGTTGTGAAGTGATGATACATAAGGAAGAATAGGAAAGGTGCTCCATCATGGGTAATCAATCTAGCTCTTAGGTCCTTGTCAAGGACCTATGGACTTTGCAAAAGCAGGGGAGCGGGTTTTTGAGGGATCCTTGGCTTGCCCATAATATCAAGCAAACCTCTTGGACAACAAGCTGGTGGTCATTGTAACGGCCAAAATATGCAATGTTTGCTCTTTGATTACCATGATTGATTTATCAAAGCACTGGAAATGAAAAGAAACTCCCACAAACATATTTCAATTCTACAAATTGACAAATAAATCCTAACTGAATATAAATCATGATGGGTGATTGATCCCTCTGATTGGACATATATGATGATTATGTGGTCACTCAAGACATAAAAAAAAACAATTGTCCAATCAAATGAAACATGGGAGAGAAAAAGGGGACAGATCCAATTAGATGTGTCAAATTTTTCCTGATGAGTTCACAAGTTGAATCAGGTGTGCTTAATTTTTTCCTATCTGTTCAATGAGAAATTGGACAGAATAATCACAAGAAAAAGCAAAAGACCAATTTGATTCTTGTCAATGCAATTAGTTTATTTAGGTTTGATATTGAATGTGTGGACACCTGTTTTGATTTACAATAATGGATATTATTGTAAATCCAGAGCAACCAGACAATTGGACATGGAGGTGTTCAAAAACCATGCATGATGATCAGTTTCTGTCAAATCCAACCAGTGCAGGAGCAATAGTATAATAGACAGATTCTTCTTTGTTTTGTAGTGAATGGGTAACCAGGTGTGGGCTTTGTTACAGATAGACTGTACTTTGGGAATGAATCAAATCAAATTTGTTCTTATTTTTATGTGCTTCCTGATGAGTTCAAATTGGGGTTGAATGGGGTGAATGGGATGTACTTACTGTTTGCCCTTGTTAATCAGATCATTCAGTGATACATTGCAAAACATGCTTACACACAAAAACCAAAGTATCTACAAGAAAAAGTTGATTCTTGTAGATATTGATGTTGAGCACAGCATTTTGGATCCAATGAAATGAATATTGAATCAATCCAGAACAAAATAATAAGACACAGCAATTTCAGATGGGTTTATTCCAAAAACTGCACATGATTATGACTTCCTATAAAACCTCATGAATGTATGGTAAATTGTGTGATTGAGAATTTTTTGGGGGGTTTTTTGGTGAATGAATGACCTATGGAATATGTAAAAGGGAAGCTGTGCTTTGAGTAAAATCAGCAGAATGTGTTTTTAATACCAAGGCCAAATTTTATCATGATTGAGAAATAGGTGCTAATTTTTATTCTGGTAAGGTCATGATGATATTAAAATTATGTTATTTGAAGGTTAAAATTAAGCATTGGTTGTTCAAGGTGTGTATGTACAAATTCAAAGAGACATGCTGTCAATACTACTTTACAGGAAATTAAAGTGGCTTTTAAATAGAAAATTTGAGTAGTTTTCAGCTAGTTTGTTTCTGAATCAGAGGGACTATCTGAGGATTGATTGGTTGGTGATGGTGGCCAGTCATAACTTGGAAGAGGCTGATCATCAGGGAATGAGTTTTTTATATATGGGAGCATGTATTCAAAAGCTGTCCAGACTGATCCTATAGAAATGTGGTCAAAACGGAGTCCAAGGGCCTCCATGACTCCAGTGGCTACATCATGGAACCAGGGAGGAGTGTGGGTGAACATGGCTTCTTGATCTGGGTATTCCTGTTGAAGTATTTGTTCAATGGAATTAACTGGAACTGGAAGAAGTTGATCAGTTGTCCCAAAGAATTCTGGTGTACTATATGAGAAATCGGGGGTACAGGCAGTGGGGAGTGTAATTCAATGGTCCCGGCGTTTTCTGGAGTTGTTTTGGTGTAGGACCCATCTATCAACACTTGTCTGGAGAACTGGCAACCAGAGAAATAGAAAAAGTAGTCTGGAATAAGAAGTATTAGTTTAATTCCCCAAAGGTAGCAAGAGATATAGCCTTACTTTTGAACTTCATCATCCGGATTGTACATACCACTTTCAATCTTCTCCATTATGACATTAATCACTGCTTGGTTATGGTGCTTCATCATTTGAGACCAAAGAGCTTCAATCTTTTGATTGTGGGTAGACTTAGTGAAATGCATTCGTTTTGCTGCTTCTTCAATAGTAATTCCCGCGTGTTTGTAGGAGATGAACATTTGGTAGGCGGCCATGTCGATAGTTTCAGATCCAAAATCAGATGTCACCTTGAGAGGAATTCCCCCAGCTTTTGCTGCTGTTTGTAGGAAATAAACTCCAATGTGTCTGGGGTCATTGTTTGTTACATGAACAAACATCCCAAGAATCTTACGGGACCAAGCGTCAATAAAACCATAGATACAAATCCCAAATCTTTTCAATTTATCATGCCCATCGCAGGCCCAGACATGATTTGGACCATGTGTGCGAAAGACACGTCGTTTGCATGTCTTGCGGAGCCGCTGGGCCAGGCCTTCTGGATCAATCTCCTTGAGTAAATCATAAACAGTGTTTCTGGAGGAAAGACCAAGGAAGTTTTGTAAACATTAAACAATTTTGAGCAAGAACAAGACAACAAAATTATGGTTTACTCACCGAGGTATACTGATGGAATAGAATCTTTTCAAAATCCGGTGCATACTTCGATACCCTGCTGAGGTTTGGAGGAGCTCAGTACGTGCATGATTGATACACTCAATCACTTTATCCCATGATACCTTTCCATCCTGAAGGTCATTTGTTTGTTGTCTTAATTTGAGTTGTTGCAGGTATCTTTGGATGGTACGAATTGATACATCGAGTTCGGTTTCTTTGTAAAGCCGTGCTTGAATCTCTTTCAAGATAAGTCCTTTTGAGTGGGAGGATCTTATGGATGCTTGTATCGCTGGCGGAGGGCCTCGAGGAAGATCGCGTTGTTGAAGACCCCATAACTTTCGCTTTCGGTTGAGAGTTCGGATTGACATTTTGATCCCATGTCTCTCTTCTAGGATGACGAGTATTTGTGGTCCTTTGTAGCCTTGGGAAAGAAGGTACCGCACGACAACTTGCTCCATATCTGTTGGTTGTGGGTTTTGTGATGATGTTGGTTTGTTGTGGTCAGTGTCATCACTGCCAGTAAACTCGGTACTATAGTCTGAGGTGTATACGTCACTCATCGAAAGAGGTTAAGATGGGGCTTGTGTATAGGGAATGCTCAGAGAGAAACACGCTCAAGAGGCCAGCATAAAAGGGCAAATTGTTTGATTCAATGAAGGGCTAAGTACACTGGCAACAGTATCTGCCTTAAACTCAATATCTGTCCAGTCTGGATGTATCGAAACTGGTCATTGTAACCGGGTAGCGTGTGCACTATTGAACCAGCTTGTGCACTATTGAACCGGTCGTATCCCCATTTTCAACAGTTGTTTTCCCCATGAAATCCCACCTTTTCATGGGGGAATTTGCTTGGCTGTGTTGATAGGCTGAAAGGCAGAACCTGCCTCGGATGTCGTCAACACAACCAAATCTCAGAGGTTTCGTTAGGATCTCTTTAGATCTCTTAATTGCAGTCCAGACCTGAAATCCGTGATTGGTTGATTGAAACTCCATACTTTGGAAACACCAAATGATTCACAGACAACAAGAGCTCTCTGGATTTAACAATCCAAAGATATCATCCGATGCAATCGGTTGAAGCATATTTTATAACCCAAACCGAGCCGTTATCATGGATGGAACGATCCGAGTTGATTTTTCCGATTTATCGCAAAGTAAAAGGAAACCTCAAGTTATTCATGGTGGACGCAAGTTGTTTGGAGTTGACGACACATTTGATGCATATTTCGTACGCTGGAAACCTGAACCCAGCCATAGCCCACAAGAGCCCTTTGGATTTGACCATCCCAAGGAAAATGATACATTGATCTATAGCAAGCAAGAGCTGCTTAGATTCGCCAATCTGAAGCATATCAGCATTTGATACAGTCAGTTGATGCAAAATGGATGCGCGTGTTGTTTTGACCGAAAAAAAGTAAAACGTGTTGCAGACAGTTTGTGAAACAGCGGTCCATTAGTTTTTGTTTTTTTGAAATTGCGAAGTCGCGGGGTTTGGAACCAGCAAAACCGGATTTAGAATCTGAGAAATAAACGTTTAGGTCCTGGCACAATCCTGTCGTACCTGGGCTTCCGTACTTCTGTCATGTTGTCGATCAAGAATCAAGATGATAGATGACAAGCGAGACACTTCGCACTCTTTCCTACTCGCAGGTCATGGGACTTGTTATCATTTAACCAATTCTCACGTTTCAAGTGAGACAAGCAAATGATTCATAGTGAAATCACTACACTTTTGAGGCCCGCGGTATATGTCAAGGATGAAACCATGCTGGCCAAAACTTTGCAGTTTTCTGGGGATGTGTATGCTTGGCCTGTAGGTCATGGTTTAGCCTTGAGCTACCGGTAACTGGATGAGTATGGCGATTTAACTTGATTGGACTTGAAACTACTCTGATAAGACTCGGGTCACTGCGGCGCTACTCTGATCACACTCAAGTCAGAGCACATGTCAAATTTGTTTCACCTTTTTCATTTCCGAACCATTCCATAAGTATTAAAATGATGTCAAGATCTCTTCTTGACTTTTGAATTCTGCTACCAATTTGTCTCCAAATTCCATCTTGCTCGAGCCTCCATGTGTTGCCCACCTCATCTGGGTACTATCGGATCATTTCGCCACTTGAGTTTGAAATCACATTCACGATGAGTATTTCGCAACTTAAGTGCCAGTATTTTGTTCCATAATTCCTCTCACAGTCAAGCTTCAATGCTTCAAGTTTCATATTTCTCTCCTTCTTGTCAGCTCGGATTCGGATTCACAAAAGTCTAATTGCCCACTGAGTCAATATGTTAACGCTTTCTGAATTTTCAACCAATTTTCTTTCTGTTTCTAACCACATTGATATTTCTCCTATGTGCATCTACTTATTCACGTTTACTGAAACATGGAGCAGATTGCTTCCTGCTGATGCATCTTCATGGGTGAACTCTGCACACCTGAGCAACTTCAAAATGTAATAAAACTAGTGTCAGTGTATTTTGGCCCCCATGGGCTTGTGTGCCTATTCCCTGTTCACATTGGGGGGGGGGTCCCTTTTTGATGCAGGTGCCGGATATTTTTTGCTGATAAAATTGGCAAGCTAACTGCAGACTTTGCCCCATCAAGCCTTCTGGTTAATTCTTTTTAGAGATGGTCGCGTTGGATCCGGATATCCGCTGACAATTTCAGCGGAATCAGGCATCCGCATCCACATCCGCATCCGCTGGCGCTGCCGGGTATCCGCGGATACCCGCCCTCTTACTGGTTGACGCCGGCGAGGGGGATTTTTTTTTACAAAAAAACAAGAAAAGAAAAATAACTGCCCCCCTCGGCCTAGAGAGGAGAGGCCACGCCGCCGGGAGGAATCCCTCCCGGCGAGCTGGTGTTGTACATACCAGCTCGTTGGGAGGGGTTCCTCCCGGCAAGCTGGATTTCAAACCAGGTTGTCAGGAGGAGTCCAACTCCCTCCCGACGAGAGCACCAGCTCGTCGGAAGGAATCCCTTCTGACAAGCTGGTCTTTGTACCAGCTCGCCGGGAGGGACTCCTCCTGACGAGCTGGTTTAAAATCCGGCTCGCCGGGAGGAATGCCTCCCCACCAGCTGGTATGTACACCAGCTCGTCGGGAGGAATCCCTCCCTCCCAGCAAGCTGGTATGTACACCAGCTCGTCGGGGGGGATTCCTCCTGACGAGAGCACCAGCTCGTCGGAAGGAATCCCTTCCGACGAGCTGGTTGGTTTAAAATCCGGCTCGCCGGGAGGAATGCCTCCCCACCAGCTGGTATGTACTCCAGCTCTTCGGGGGAGGGGGGGGGATTCCTCCCGACGAGAGCTCAGCTCGTCGGAAGGTGTGTACCACCTCGCCCTTCCCGAGGAGCTGGTCTGTGTACCAGCTCGCTGGGAGGAACCCCTCCCCCGCGAGCTGGTACACAGACCAGCTTGCGGGGGAGGGATTCCTCCCAACGAGCTGGTGTACATACCAGCTCGCCGGGAGGGATTCCTCCCGGCGGCATGGGCTCTCTAGGCCGAGGTTGGCACCGGGTATCCCTTGGGATACCCGGATATCCGCCAGGATTTTGGGGGAAAAGGACATCCGCACCCAAATCCGCACCCGCTGGCGGGTATCCGCTGGCACTGGCGGGTATCCGCCAGCGGATTATCCACAACCATCTCTAATTCTTTTTGGATGCTGGACCCTGGTGCAAACTATCCAATTACACATAAAGCTCCACCCCCATGATACTAATTGCACAGATGGTATATAAAATTGAATTTGGTTCGAAGCTGTTTGAACTTGCTTTGAGCTGCATTCAATTTCCATAACCTATACAGGAAAGATATAATAACCCCCCCTCCATTTTTCAAAGCACAGTTTTGATTTGATATTATTAGCCTGGTTCACATTTGACACTTCTGTCTGCTAACTTGTAATAAATTCACTTGTCACTATGCTTGTTCAAGTATCTGTGTAATTGCATGTACATACATGCATGTGATTGAGCTGGAGTTATTTGCTAACATTCTGACTAAATCTAATAATAGTATAAATTGTTCACATTTGGCTTTAAATGGACATTAAACCTGAGTTGTATGGATAGATAGGCTTTGAAAAGTAAGTACCTTGTAGAAGAATTGGAAATGAAAGGGAATTCTCACTCACCAAGCCTAGCACTAGTAGCCAGGAGGTGGGCTTACTGGTATTTTAATAACAGACTTGTCATATTTTCCACTGTATAATTTGGTTGCAGGGGGGACAACAAGACTGGGTAATGGTTACTGCTAGACTGTCCAGACTCTTGCATCCTAGCAAGCTGCCACACAGCATATGGCTACATACATATGGGGGCATAAGATCAAATTTGATTTGAACCTTCAAACTTGTGTCAAGCTGAATTCAATTTTTGTGCCTATAGGACGAACAAATCCAACCTTGTTCATCCATTCAGGCAATTAAATTGGCTTTGATTTGAGATTTCAACTGCATATCAAAATCCATCTGAACAGAGAATGACCCAAAAACCCTCAAAAGGCTCCTTTCTACCAGTGGCTTTATGTCCGTCCAATCATTAATGAAAATGCCTGGATTATTCCAAAACCATCCACACTTCACTTCGATTGGATACTGAGTAATTATTACAAACATCACATCCAGTTCCTGTCTCAATTCCTCCTAAAACTCAGCCCTGCAAAGGTATGCCTATTTTCTTATTTAGATTGGCCAACAAAGTTGCATGTTTTGCATGTAGAGCACTTCCTCCTGCCTCAGAAAACTTCTCAACTAATGATCACATTCTTATTTTTTGGGTTATCTGATTCCACACTACATACCTGATCTGGTTTGTTTACAGTCATTTGTGTACGATCTCTACCTTCATTGTTAACTGGCAAGAATTCTCATTTTTTCCTGTTCCTTCAAAATTGAATGCTGTTTATTTTATTTCAGGCCACTAAGATTCAGATTCAGTACTGATAACTCTCTGCGAGTTCTGTAGTGATAACGCAGGCCACAGGGGCAACCTTGGGGAGTGCCGTCGGGAGGCGCGCTACTAAATGCCGCTGACTAGCGTCCGTTGACCGTTCGGTTAGCCTAGTGTATGTTTTGGGGCCGAGTGACGGCCCCCCCGCAACCGTCTCCCAGGGGGATCCGAATGACGTTGCGAGCTTAGGTCATCATCATCGTCAAATTGTATGTAAGCCAGCTGGATGTATGCACTGGCACTCCCCATTCTTTCCCTCTCCCTCTCTTGACCACTCGACCAGCTTTCCATCTCCTCCTCTTCCCAACCACCTTCTCTCTCAACAAGCAACCCTCGAACGCATGGAACCTCAATATGACCCATTATCATCTTGGAAGGTAAGCAAGCATCCATCCTCTTCCGGGCCACAAGTTCACCAACAATACAAAGTACTCAATTATTATCTTGCCCATCTACAGACACCATCCTGGCCAAACCCATCATCCATCCAAACTCCTCCCACACGGAGGTTTTCGACAAGGAGTGATAGAGAAGTGAGTTTGAGAGAAACTCGGGCTTTCTCCATTGATCTTCTACATTTACTCTCAACCGGATTGAATTTCTACATAGATTTGTTAATTAACTTGCTTAGAATTGTCACTTGCATCTATCTATTCCTTTTAGAGAGATGCACCGGAGTATGCTCGAGCCTTATCTTCAGACGTCGATCCATACGCATCATCAATCATCTCATCAAGCGATTCCAACTCACACTATCGAAGCAGTCGCGGGAGTCGTGGCTCGATAGCAAGCAGTCTACTATGTCCTTTACTCGAATTTCACGATTCTTCTCGCCGACAATCCGATGCTGGTCTAATTATGCCGATGCGGCCACTGCCGGCCATCAATCCTTCCTCTGACCCATCAGCTCTGTACAGCACTTCTCATCTGGATTCAGCTTACAGAGCTCAATCACTCCTCAAACAGAGTAGCGGCACGAGTTCCGGAATCTTATCATCCACCGCCATGTCCAACAGCAACTCGACCTCAGGCGGTAACTTATTCATCCCTTTGCGCCGCCGATTCTTACCAAATCTGGATAGGACGTCCTCCACCAGCAAACCGAGGGTAGAAACCCAATTATTGGGCGAATTGCTACTTGCTCTTGAAGAATACGTGGCCGCCTTTGGGCGTCAAGTCAAGGTCTCCCCCTCACATCAGTTCAGTCTAGGTGGTGGCTCTGCGGCCGTAGTTGTCGTAGCAGCGGCAGCAGGCCCATCAAACGACCCAACAATCGCCGATCTAGCTACTTCCAATCTTGTCGGAACCAGTCCGGATGAAGAGACCCAAGACGCTCATTCTTTGGGACCACTCCAATCGACGAATGTCGATTCCACATTGATCAACTTGGACAGTCCTGAGACCGAACTGTGGGGATCAAATACACCCAATCCCTTCGATCCATCAGCTGAAGAACTCGACGAAACACTTAAAAATGTCCACCTGGTCCCCCAATCGCAGTGTAAAGTCGATCGAGCTTTACTCACCGAACTGTGTGAAGAATTGGAATATGTGACTAGCGAAGTGATAGACGTTGTTCCAGCATTCGGAGAAAAACTGATGCAGGGTCACTATGGACCTTTAGCTGCTCGGGGCCACTTGTCGACCCATATACCATCGCCTGCGCCTGACATGGGAGACTCAGAGAATCGGAGCAGTGGTTCTAGCCAAACGAAATCATCAAGCGCACTGCAGCGCTTTTCCGATCACGAGCCTGGCGGCAGCCAGGATACATCTGATGGCGGATCTGGATGGTGGGCTGAAAGACTTTTACGAGATTTACTGGAAGGTATCGTGGCTGAGACCGTAGTCAAATCAGGCTCCACAACGACCTTACTATCGTCTAGCACAAATTTGTCTTCCAATTTCGATCACTCTGAAATGAGTCGTCTATCAAGCCAAAGCAACAGTCGTCATTACACTAGCGATAAAACCAGTGCAAGTGATCGCAAGGCTGCTAATCATATCACGAATTCTCTAGGGGGGAAATCGAAGAATTGGCTTCGGATGCCCCAATCATCCAGCTTACCCCGCTCAACTTCCGTCAACAACCCTACAAAACATACTGCTAATAACCGTAATCTGGGATTTTCTCTAATTGATGAACGTGAAGAAAGCTCAACAACATCCGAAGCCAAACGGAAGAGTGTCCGGGCCTCCGCCAATAAGAATCAGGGCTTACAGGCGACGAGATTAAGTAAAGATTTGATCGTAGTGCCTGACGGACATTATCACTCGACTTTGACCCGCGAACTGCTTGCGGAAGCTTCTCAAGATTCAATCTTCGAATACCGCCATTCTCCTGACAAGGAGCCAAACATTCTGTTTGAGTCTAATGGATTTTCGTCGCCGGAGCATCAAGAGCCCTACCGTAACAGTAAAAATCTGTATTATCCGCAGCGAAGGGAAGCCCAGCCGGTGGATCTTCTGGGGCAGTCTGACGGTGAGGCAGAGGCTGATGGTAGCGCAAAGGCGGGGATCGATGATGATCATCGGCAGAGACTCTTAGACGAGGGCCGCAAACGATGGCTGGCATTCAAAGCCAACCAGTCCAGCTCTCCATGTCCTTCTTCGACTCACCCGGCGCCCCGGAACTCAAGCGGAACTCATTCCAGTCACTTCTTGAGTAACCCCCCTAGTCTTCGTGTCGAGTCTAATCATCAATCACTAATGAACAATCAGCTCGGCCGTGGACGAAGTAGCAGTAGTAGCTCGATCATCAGACCCCATCATCACCAGTCTAATCAGCTTCATGAGTACATAGCCAGTCATCGATCTTGATCTGTTTGATATCGTTCTTTCTTCTCTTTCTTCGTTTCTTTTAGGATCCCTTCTTGCCTGGATTATTCTTCATTCCTTCAAACCTCTTTTTCTCTCTTGTTCATTGTTCCTTTTACCTTGGCCGACACAATCTCATCTCTTCATCGATTATTTTTTGGCAACTCGCATTCCTATGTTTTCTATGTATATATAGAGAGATCGTCTGGACTCACCTCCCCTGTATCAGGAAATTGTTCACCTATTCGTCTAGCATGAGAACAAACAAAATAGAAACATCCATTCATCTTGGGAACTTGTATATATGTATATATCAATGGAATGTAAATTATCCTTCCAAGCAAATCTTCCTCTGTCGTTCTCTTTATTGTTGTTCTTTTTAACTATAGCCTTTTTTAAAAAATATAGATTGGGATTTTTTGGAATTTTTTTTACATGATAAAATGAATTATAAGCATCGGATTTTTTTGTGGAGTTCAATGAGAAGCCTGTGCACTGTCTGAACAAGGATCGAAGGGCAGTTGTCTTTCATTAACCTGTGAGACAATCTGTTTTGTGCACATGTGGGTGGAGGTTCGTATTATTTATAGACAGAACATGATCTATGCATTTCCACCCATGAATCTATATTAACAGAGATGTTTTCCTCCTTGAATGTGTGGTTTCTGTTTCCATCATCTTTACCACACACACAGCTCAGAAACCCTTCTGGCCTTCAAATCCAGTTCTCCTTGCAGTCATCCCTCAGACTTGAGTGATGCAGTTTCCACCTGATTGCATAGTCACTTAATTGGGCGGTAAGGAGACAAACAAATTGATGGCTATGCAGCTTCGGCAGAGAACAAGTTCCGTCCCCCCCCCTTTTTTCTGTACTACATAACATATGAAAACCTCAACGAGGATTCGATTTATGTTTGTTGTCACAGTCCCATCAATAATAATTACAAAACTTTTGATGGGGCGACGGGGTAAGTCGTAAGCAGCTTTCTGATCCTCTCCGCATTCAGAAAAGTAAATAGTAATCCATCCAATACAATGTAATGTTCATCTTGCAATCATCTTTTCCTTTTTTTTAAAAAAAACTACTTATCAATAGAACGAGTACATAATAACACAGATCTATGTGGGGGCCACAACGTGTTTACTTGAATACAACAAAAGGTTGAAATAGATTATATAATAACGACCATGTATTAATAGTCTCGCCAAATAAATAAATAGATAAATAAGCTAAAAGAAATCAATACATGAATGGTTTGTTGGATTTCATTTAGTCGAGCCGCCAAAAGCGCGAAAGATTTCATGACCCAGGTCACCCAGGGCTTCGCCCAAGTCGGCCAAGACGCTGATAGGCGGATCAGGATGATCTGATCTAAGTGTGGTACTTTCAGCGGAAGGGGGGCCGGCGGGCTGGACGATGATGCTAGCGATATCCCACTGTCGCTTGGCCCATTTACGTGCCTCGGGCGTGCCCGAAGACGGGAACTTTTCGCGCCAGCCTGGGGCGACAGAGACTACTCGGACCACCCTAGCGGGATCGGGGGAGTCGTCCAAGTCCGGATCTTCTTCTTCCTCCTCCCCCTCATCTAAAGAGGATCCGTTCATCGACCTCCGGCCTGTGATGGGCGATGAAGAAGAGCAGGCTTGGACGGAAGAAGAGGGGGTGGATTTGGCGGCGGAGAAGGGGAACCATTCAGAGAGCTTTTCTAGTGGGAACGGGCTGTTGATGATCGACGAGGAGGGTTTCCTGGTCGAGCCAGAGGACATCGGCTGGACTTCGAGCAGATAATCCACACTATGGATCTCGCCCATCGTCGCATTCGAATAGGTTGGGTCGTGCTTGAACTCCACCCCGATCGTCCGCGTCATCGGGTCGTATCGAAACTCCGCCGGCGGATGCGACGCCCGCGTCGGTCGGCTTAAGATCGGCTGCGGTTTCGTCAGCTTTAGCCCGTACTCCTCACTAACGTCCACTCGTAACCCCGCGCTCGCCGAACATAGACATCCATGCCAATCCAAGAAAAATAGCTGTTTTTGTGATCATCACGGATTGTTGTTGTGTGCACATGATTATAGGCGATTGTCAGATGATGGAGCAAATGAACAATCATACGGATTTTGTTTTTATTTTTACTGAGATACAAACCTGATTATTTTCCTTATGAAGTAAATCGCCATTCACCAAGGTAGGACGTTTAGGATTATAAGCGATCACCTGTAATGACGATTGAAGCAAACCGGAGACCAGAATATGAGTAGATGATTGATATTATAAGAATATAAGGAATGGGAGGACATACCGGGGTACCGACAAGAGTACTTGCGCCAGAGACATCAAGGACTTTGAGGCTACTCCTATTCCTCAAGACGAACAGGCCAGAAGGAAACCGATGGCTGGTCTCGATGGTATGTTGATTAGGATGTGGATGATGGAGCGAGGGAGGAATTGAGAAGGGTGCGGCGACTGAGGCTCCTAGGGAAGCTTCGGCATACGATGGCGGTGGCGGCAAGGGGACGACGCTCACCCAGCTCGAGTCCGTCGGTGCCTCGGCAGTCGTTGTGCTGGGTTGAGTGGATGTGCTGGCTGGGCCGGTGGTGGTAGTAGCAGTGCCTCCTTCCTGGTTGGTGTTCATCTTGAAGAATCCGATCCAACTCCCACTTCGGCCGGCACCGAGCATTTCCGGGTTTTAAACTGTCCTCGCATCCCCCCGTGGGAGCCAGCCCCTCCACGGACCATCCACCTCCGCTGCCATGGACGTCTCTAGTCTCTTCATGTTTAACACATGCTAATTAGGTCACACCTGGGGGCATATCAAAAGCGATTCCCAGTTCTCATAGTGCAATATCAGTTTTGATTAGAGATGAATCACTCTAGAAATTTTCCTGTAGAGACATTCTTGAAAATGAGCAACCCATGGAAAATAATACATAAGATAGCCTGCACAAAGTTCTTAACAAGCTTTGATATTTGATATTTGAAACTGAATCAGAAAAAATAATGATTAGAATTACATATGTAGAATGAGAGTATTATTGCATTGTTAGTTGATGTGGTAAGCTTAAATTTTTTAGTCCTTGCAGCCATCCTGTCACTATGTAGTGGTTCTTGATCAACCTGACCTTGTTTTAGGGAGCAAAAAACCTCAAGTGGAACAGCTATGTACATATTATTACCACCCTTGGAATATTAATTTTGAAAGAATTGTAACGAAGAAATCCAAAATATTCCTAGGAATTCAATGTGGGAATTGTGGGTGTTTCTAATTTTCAGCGCCCCCCTGTTTTCGGCCCCCGATCGGGTGACGGGTTTAGTTGGCGAGCTGCCGATCTGTTTCTGTAAGTTGCAGTTGTGGGTAAGTTTGCTGCTGCTGCTGCTCCTCCTCCTCCCCCTGCCTGCCTGTTGACCAATATCCTCCCTCAACCATCCTCAACCTCAAGAAGTGCTGACCCAACACCCTCAATCCTACCATCCCAGAACAACCAACAACCGGCCATCGATCTCAAACTAGACCTCTCTCATTGACGGCCGAGCTCTAACGTAACGTGTTCGTGTTGTAATTCTTCCTTGCTTTCCTTCCCTTTCCTACTTCGATCAAAATCGATCGACAAAGAAACATCCTTGCTGACCTTAATGTCACTCCTCCGATTGTGATTCATGTGTTTTAGGTAATCCTCATCATCTCCACAGAGACTAACGTTCCCATCATGAACAATGGACTCTACAATCATATTCCTGCTCAACTCAACCCGCAAACAACAACAACAACAACAACAACAACAACAACAACAGCAACAGCAAGCCCAACAGCAGCAACAGCGCCAACAACAACAAATACAACAACAGCAGCAATACCAGCAGCAACAACAACAACAACAATACCAACAACAACCTTACCAGCATCAGCAGCAGTTACAACAACACCAACAGCTGCAACAGCTGCAACAGCAACAACTCCAACAACAACACCAACAGCAGCAAATACAACAACAACAACAACAACAACAACAATTACAACAGCAGCATTATCCTCAGCAGCAGCAGCAGCACCAACAACAACAACAACAATCAAATCAGCACCCACAGCTCTCTCATCACTCCCAACAAAACCTCCAGCCACAACATCAAATCCAACTTCAACACCATCAGCAACTCCAACTCACAGGCAACTCCAACAACAACAAGCCCAAGCTCAAAAACAA